ATAATTTCACACACCAATAAAGGTTTGCTTGTTTTACTGTACTCGCATTACTCACTGCTGATAGTGAGAGAAATTATAAGCAAATGCATAGTTAATGTTGGTTTATTGTTTTCAGTGTACTGTCAAACAGAACAAGCTCTGCTGCTAATTTAGTTTTACTTCTCATGTTTCTTGCATCTGTTTCTGTTGCATTGAATCAATGGGTGCGCCATCAAATGACATGAGAATGAGTTGAGTGAAGAGGAGTGTTATTTTTCCTCTCCTCAGTGTGGACGGCGTCATGCTGCGTCTTTCGCGCCCCCTACTGGCCGCCTGCCTGTACCTGCTGCTGCTGCCCTGGGGCCAGGGCAGGACCTTCGGCTACAACAACGGGTTTCACTACCAGGACATCAGCAACGGGGATGGGAACGGAGAGAGTAGGTGCTTTTTGTGGGTCTTTGATTACATGAAATGACAAGGCGTTTTGCATATTTTCGTCTGAGAGTCAGGTGAGCAACAGGCAACCTGTGATCAGATCATAAGACGTCAGGCTGGAAAGGACCTGGAGGTGGGAAGACAAAGTACTCTATAATTAATGGTGCTCAGAGCAGTCATCTAGTGTTAGCAAAACACTTTTCCAGTGAGTGATGTTGGTTTCCTGCATGTTAGTTATGTGTTTGGGATGTGGTTTCATCCTCCTTTCCCCTTAATTACCGCCTGAGTTTGTGTTTCTGCAACTTTTCTAGAGACACAAAGCAATTATATAAGAGATTTGCGAAGCACAGAAGAGTTGAGCGTGTCTTAAAAATATCAGACCATTCCACCAATTTCTAAACCACTGGAAATATATTTGAACTCTCTAGTATGTGCAGGAGAGGTCTTCTGTCTGCCTGCACAGCAGGAAGTCAAAACCAAGAGAAACCTCATTGTTCTCAATTTGTCTTGCATACAAATGCAAAGAAGAAAAATTATTAAGTCAACAGCTACAAGTTAAAAATGACTCAACTTCTTCTCTACAAAATGAAAAAAGAAAACAAACACTGTTGTTCAGTACATATTAGTTCTGCTGGAACAGATTGAAATAATCTAGTGGGTGGAAATGTACTCCTTTTTATAAACTAGCTGAACACCTCACCCTTCTGTTCTTCTAAAGAGCTTCTCAAAAGTAATCAACCTTTGGATGTTTGATTCTTTTTTATTTCTTTTCCAAATTAAATTATAAAATACAACAGAATTTTACTTTTTTAACCAAAAATATATTACAAAAAAAGCCTTTATTCTCAAAGTGGAAACTGATTTACACAAACAAACAAAAAAAGAGATTCAATAAAAATATTGTGATTGTGTAATTTTTTAATAATCTATATTAAACTGAGTGTAATGGAGCCTGCAGGCCTCATTCCTTCATACTTGAGAAATCCTTTCATTTCATGTGGCAACCATTCAGCTGTGTAAAATGCTTGGGTGGACCTCACGCTGCCTTTGAGACACAGTTTCAGAGAACTGCAGTTCTACAGCTCCTGCCTCACAGCAGACGTACCTCGGGACTCCTTCAGACTAGCCAGCAGCAATTAGCAAACCCCTGGTGGAACTGGGCATCTGCTGAGCTCATAACAGGAGCTACTCTCAATGACATGCCGGTAAAAACGTTGCTAAATGGTTAATTGAGGAGCAATGATGTGATGACTTCCTGAAGACGGAGTTTCATGAAGAGCAGAATTTTTTTCTTTTTTTTTAAAGAGACAGAGGCCCAATTTCAAGGCTTTAAGTTACAAAGTAAATGTTCTTTTAAGTCATGTTTGATGTGATTAGCATTTTTAAAAACAACTTCAGTTAACTCAGATATGTGATTATGCTATAAAGTGGTACTATGTGCCGAGAAAACACATAATACTGCCTCTTTAATGCTAACGAATTAAAAAGCAGGTCATTTAGTTTAAAGTTCCTAAATTTTGAGAGCCGTCCATGTACATAGAAACGCTTCATAAACAGCTCTGAATACACCCTGGTGTTTTGAATTATTATTATTATTATTTTCTATCATCAGTTTATTTCAGTGGGATTCGCCTCCATGTGGAATCGCCCCAGCAGTTGGTGTCGGCCACCAGGGGGAGCAGCGTCACCCTTCCCTGTCACTACCGCTATGAACCCGAACTGACCGCGCCGCGCAGGACCCGGGTCAAATGGTCCTGGTTACCCGCCAACGCCATCACCACGAACGAAGCCTTCGCCTTGGAAACTGCAGTCATGGTCGCCATGGGCAACCGCCATCGCAGCTACGGCAGCTTCAAAGGCCGAGTGCGCCTGCGTCGCTCGGCTCCAGGGGACACGTCTCTGGTGATAAATGAGCTGCAGCTGAACGACACCGGGCGGTACCGCTGCGAAGTGATCGATGGCCTGGAGGATGAAAGCGTGACGGTGGAGCTGGAGCTGAGGGGTGAGACACACTCCAGTTTAATGAACTCACAGCAGGGGTTAACAGTAAAGGAGTGCATGTCTGTAAACGGCCTATGCTCAGTTGGGGCTGTGGTATGTTTAATTGAAATCTGAAAAAATCATTTTTTGAAACTTAAAGAAAAAGACTTGTAACTTTAAAACATGTTCTAAGGTCCTTTATTAGACGGTAATGTTAGATGTTTTGCTCAAAGGCACCATTGCCACTACAGGGTGGAAACATGTTTGCTTTATAAAACACACAAGTAGAACTGTGTCTCAAATCAGTGTTACATGTTGTGTCTGTGACTCTAAACTGAACAAATTAAAAGTGGTTGCTTATGGAACGGAAAGCTTAAGATGGTGTTTGTACCCTAACCCTGGGATGCAGTTTATGTGCAACGCCATGTTGAAATTCTGACATCTTAACTAGAGCGCCATTACCTGGGGTCTGACGTCTAAACAACTCCAAATTCCTACTTCTTAGGTAACTTGAATGGAGCATCTTGTTTTCGGGATTAAAATTTTATCACAATATTTTGTGGCAGAATTGTGATAACGATAAAACGATAAGAACTATTTACTTATTTTTTAGTAAAGCTGTGATTGAATGGCACAGCAATTCAGGACACCAGTCACATAAAAAAAGTGTGGTTTAAATCACTAAGACGTGCACAATACTTGCATGTAATCATTTTCAGATTTATGGCAAAATAACAATCCCAACAACATTGATAGTTGAACATCATTTAGAATTTATCATGATGACATATGAAAATGACCAGAATAAGAAATTTATCACGATAAACGATACATGATAAACACCTGTTATCGTAGGCTCTTTGAGGTCTATCAACCTGAGGAGTTCAGGCAGTCTGCAGACTGCTTTAACAAATTCTAGTTTGGGTGATAAAATTGTTGTTTGATTCATTTAGGCTGTTTCTAATTGTATGGATTTGAGTTGTAAAGTGCTTTTCCTTCGTAGGTGTTGTGTTCCCCTATCACTCTCCGAAAGGTCGCTACCATCTGAACTTCCTCGGTGCCCAACAAGCGTGCCTGGATCAAGACGCCACTCTGGCTACGTTTGAGCAGCTCCTCTCGGCCTGGCAGGACGGGCTGGACTGGTGTAACGCCGGCTGGCTGGCCGACGGCACCGTGCAGTACCCCATCACCGCCCCACGGCACGGCTGCGGAGGTGAAAGTTCAGCTCCCGGACTCCGCAGCTACGGACCAAAACACCGCCTCTTCCACCGATTTGACGCCTTCTGCTTCTCGGCCTCCATGACGGGTCGGTATGAAAACCTGCCGGGTCTGCAACTAGAGATAACCCTCTTTGCTTATCACTCTTCTCTCTGCTCTAGGGATCGTTTACCACTTAAACAACCCAAGACGGATGAATTTCACAGAAGCAGGCCGTGCATGTGCCAGAGACGGGGGCCGGGTCGCCAAAGTGGGCCAGCTGTATGCCGCCTGGAAGCTGAAGGGGCTGGACCGCTGCGACGCGGGCTGGGTGGCCGACGGCAGCGTGCGTTATCCCATCACAAACGCCAGGGCTAACTGTGGCCCCTCACACCCAGGGGTGCGCAGCTTTGGGTTCCCGGCTCCACACATGAAATTTGGCGTGTACTGCTACCGATAGATGACTTACCACAAACCCGGATCCAAATAGGCAAGAAGACAGTTCCTGTATCTCTTTATTTTTTAAAACGGACAATCCGACCTTTAAAAGATTTTTATTTCAATGACAGGTGAAACATCTCTGGGACAATGCAGAAAATCGTCCAAACCCCCACCCCCCAAAAAAACCTAGAAATGTTTACATTTATGTGGAAAATTTCCACCTCAGCTTTTGGAGCAGCACTACAAATACTTGCTTTTATCGTTCGCATTAACACCAGTCAGTGGCAGCTGCTTGATAGGATATTACTAGTTTTATCTTTCGTCCACAGATTTCCACTCTGTCATTGTTCGGGACTATGTGGGCGCTGTCTTAAAGAATTGCTTTAGCGTATGTCTGTGGTAGAGCTGTTAATGAACGATGCTCTACGAATGACAAAACCCATCTGTTCTTGTAATATAGAAAATTACCTTGTAAAAGAAGAATCCGAGTTCTTGTCAAACGCATGCCCCTCTTTTTGTATTGCCTATGCATTTGTGATATTTTCTATGAATAAAAACCTTTCTGTAAATATTTACTTGTAAATATACTGAAACAAGATTCTTCAAAACTCATTTATCCCCTTTAAACATGCTGCTACGCATGATCTCCTATATCAGGACGCCTCTCCCGCACGACGCAGCGCCGCATCCACACAGAGCCGGTCTGTTCACAGGCGCCGCAGCCATGAAGGTAGTCACTGTAGCAGCCCATGAAGGAGCCGTTTATTACATGTTTTATTTTTTCACAGTGAAGTCACACAGGACGGCAAAAGAAAACAACAAATAAAAGTCCGGTTTGTGCTTCAGTCTACCTGAAAATGTTGCAACTTCAAGGAAAACCGTTTCCAGGAAAAGACGAGGATTATCTGAATCTGTGCATGTGATCTGGCTTCACCTTGGCTGATGAGAAAGAAAACCACTGAGACGAATACGGCCAATGTTTTATTGGGTGATCTGGTCCGGGATTCAGAATCCGGGCCAGATCCCTGCAGTAGTTATGTAAGTTTAGTTAGTTTGTTAAGGTAAAGTTTCTTGACCAGCACCAGGCAAAAACACTCATAACACATTTTGTAAAAAAATTTTCTAGTATCTCGAGGCACCCCGATAAAACTGCACCACACTCCCAACCCGGGTCACGTCCCAATAGACCCGTCTCTTTTATTTGATTCTCTTGATGGCTGACGCAAACGTTGACCTTAAATGCCTCACAGAAAAAAAAAAATCATCCTTAAAAATAAAGATATGACGATATTGTAAAACACCCGCTCTCCAGCTACAGTCTGAGGCTTTAATGAAAACATGAGCTCCTCCTCTCTGGTGCAGCCGGCTGTCACGACTCAACCAATGATCAATGATAAATAATGTAAGTAAGAAAAATAAAAGTTAAAAACCGCCTGCACTGTGCAAGTTATGGACAGATCCTGCTGTTCAGAAAAAAAACAAAACATGACTGATATTTACAGTGAGCAACTGGTCCAGGAGCAAACGCTGGGGTTCTCACGACCGGTTCGCACTTGAGGAACCATAAATAAGGAGCGTGTGAAATTTGTTCTTATATTTCCAAAAGACCCGGCAGATATTCACCGAATAGTTCACATTTTGTCATCACAAACCTCGATATATTTCAACCTATTATGAAGTAGTGGATAAAAAAAACAAGAAGTAGAATTCTGTTTTTTTTTTTTAAAACCCACAAATCTGAAAAGTGTGGCGTGCATTTGTCGGAACAGGCCATCTGTTCAGTAAGACGTGGCGGTGGCAGCATTATGGTGTGGGGATGCGTTTATTAGCGACAGTGAGGCTTGGTGGGAAGACGGATGGAAAGCCTTTTATTTTGAAAAGTAATGATTAAAACGTGTATCATAATCCTTCTTTTTTTTTCTGCTGTTATGCACCACTTTGTGTTATCACAAATTATACATTGGAGTCTGTTGTTAAATTGTAAAAATGCTGTTTCAAGGCATCGTTTTCCTGCCATTTCTAAAAAAAAAAAAAAAAAAAAAAAAAACAAAAACAGCGACAGGATTTTTGTTTTTTTTAAATACAGTTTTAAGGTTACAACCGAGTATTAGGGCTATGCTAACAAAACACAAAAAAATGCTTATTATGAAGATAGAGTAGTAGCATTACAAGAATAAAGTCAAAATGATACCAGAGTAAAATTTGAATATTTTAGGAATGAAATTGGAATATTACCCGAAATTTTTAACAGAACTCATAATGTTCTGAATACTTTCATACCGCGACTTTATTCTTGTTATTTTTTTCTCTTTTCTTCTGAGCGCGGCCCTAACACTCCGTGGTATGAGGCGCGCTGGATTCAAATGATTAGCACAGACATGGCGGGACTCTCGAAAGTGCTTACGTGCCGATTATTTCAATCCAGGACGGCTGCGTCCGAGTCGTGTTTTCTGAACGAGTTGGTCCGGCAGCGCCGCGGACATCGAGCTTCCAGCTGTGACGGGACCAAGGGCTCCAATTTGCTCCAGGTGAAACGACGGTTCAGAACCGCTCGTCAACCAAAGGTCCACGTCCACTGCGTTGCCCTAAATGGTAGGAATCTAACACCTAAAACAAAGCCTAAGAGACGCAGATCTAGAAAAATATGGTAAAATATCATAAAAGTGTGAACTGAAAATGCCTTCTACGCTCTTCAGCCTCTTGAAAAGAGTTTTGAAGCGATTTAGCTCCAGGACACTGAATCATAAATTAGAGAAATGAGCTTTAAGAGGTTGCAGGGCGACGTTCAAAGACATCGGGGTGTTTTGGTTTTTTTTTTTAAGTCGTCATCTAAATGTGCTTTTAGTTGAGTGTATATAGAGGGGTAGGGCGTGCTATCTTTTTGGTCTGGCATTTGTATTAGTGTCCATGCTTCTTTAGAAGAAGGCTCTTTTGTGGCTCTCTGCTTTTTGTGTGTCCTTTCAGTCCCGCTCAGAGCTGTTCCCTCTGCTCCTGTTGGCTGCTGACACCTTTACTTCTTCTCCTCAGGGACCTTTTGTGTAGCCTGTTACTGTTGGCTCCGGCTGGGGGGGAGAAAAGGTACGCATACTGATGACATCACAAAAAAACCCCAAAACGACACACACACACACACACAAAAATAACGAGGCACTAAAAAGACTTAAATGTGATTCAGCAGCGAGTGGCGGGTGAGGAGAGTGAAGCTCACAAGCTGCAGGATCAGAAGTGAATATTTCTGCATAATTTATATAGTTGGTTGCTGTTGGTTTATTTCTCTCTGTACAGATGCTCAGCTCAACACACTATCATCAACGTCACCAAAATAAAATCAAAATACAGGGGACTATTTCTCCATTATAACACAATAAGACACAATAGAAAGTATTCAAGTTGAGCGACTTTGAATTATTAAGAACCTTCTAACGGTGTTCGAAAGGAAACGTTCTCCTGAAACAATATGTTTAAGCTAAAAATCATTGATATTCCACCAATGTTGACAAAACACAACTTCGCAGTTGCTGTGTTTTCATTAAATAAAAAATGCAATTAAAATTACACACAAGTTTTTTTTTTTTTGCGTCATAAGTCATTTAAAAAAACAACATAATCCTCTGATTACTTCCTGTGGTTGTGGCAACTTCCAGTTGTTGGTCATGTGACTTGTGTGATTGGAAAAGTGTTTCCACTGCAGATTGGCCAAAGAAAAAGAAAAAAGAAAAAGGAGTGACATCTTACATAGCGGCAAAGCTTTGAGTGCTTTTGAAACTGCTGCTTTTCCATAAAGCAAATTTATTTTCGAAATGTCAAACTGTGACATTATATGGTGAATGGAAACCTAACTATTGACTGTCAATAGGAAAAGTGTGCAGACAAAAATCTGTCCGGCTCCTGCTGGTACTAAAAGCTTTTAGAAGCTTCTTCTAATATTCCGTTTTGTGAACCCTGAACTTTAGTGAACTGGATGAGAGAAACCCAAGCATTACTTTCATTGAAAAGTAGACACAATTCTTATTTCGATGTACTTTAAAAAGCCTAAGTCACGCCACCATCCTTAAAGTTCAAACACAATTTTCCTTTGAGGCTCACCTTCTATGCACTGGACTTGTGGCTTTTCCCACTCTCCGTTTGCCATACAGTGTATGACAGGCAGGTGGCGCTGTGTGAAGCCCGGGTTGCACTGATAGCGGATTACAGAGTCGACAGGATAGCGCCCTCTGCTGCTACCCATCGCAATGCCGTGTTCCACCTCAGGGGGCGCTCCACACATGACTGACGTAAAACAGACACAAGTTTGATATATTACCATAGAATGCAACACGTATATTAACGGCTCTATCATTCGCAACGACAACAAAAAAGCAAGAAATATCAAGTTTGATCCTTTGAATTTAATTTGAAGCTAGCATTTAGCAAACTCTGCTAGTTTATGGCTGGAAAAAAATTTTTTTTTCCTCCATTGGAAAAAACAAACAGTGGACTGTTGAATACCGATTTTGCTGCACTATTCAAACCGTTTCTGTAAACAAGGACGAGTTTAGTGTTTTCCTGACAAACACACATCTGCCTTATTTGATGAAATTGCAAGCTTTCTTGTGTTTCCTACTTTAAAAGGCTATTTACCATTTAAAGGCCCCTTTATAATTAAAGGCCCCTTTATAATTAAAGGGGCCTTTAAATGTAACAACAAATTTTTTCTTAAAAAGATGGAATTTTATTCAAAAATCTGTAAAAAACAATCAAACAAACAAAAACTCAAAGGGAAGAAATTCCTAATCACTAAAGGTTTTGCCATTGCCAAAAAGACATTTATTAAATGTTTCATTAACTATTTTTCTAATATGTTTTGATGCGGGTGGGTGATCTTGTGACCAGTCGGCGTACCGGGTCCCAGCTTGCAGGTGAAGGGAAGGTGGTAGTTGCAGGGCACGTCGTTCCACTCGCCGCCCTCGTGCCAGATCATCACCACGCAGTCTTCACCGGAGCCAAAGTAGTTATCCGGCTGGTTGGGCCTCCAGTTCTCGAAAGACTGATCACAGCGTGGGATTAAGACCTGCGGCTGCCGCAGTTTCGTCACCGTTTCCAAAAGCCTCAGTCAAACTCACCAGAGGACTGCCGTCTGTCCAGCGGAACTCGTTCTGCACGTCTCTGTCGTTGAGTCCAATCCACTGATAGCTGTCACCATGGGCTGTAAAGTAAACAAGTCGACCAAATTTAGGGAAAATTAACAGCTGTATTTGGACAAGGCAGTGCTGGAGCTAACACCGATTAGCGATTATTTTGACAATCAGTCGGATAAAAAAAAAAGGCATTTTCTACATTTTTTTTTCATCTAAGCCTTTTTATACAATAGAAATACACTAAAGATGCAAGTAAACAAATAACTTAATTTCTTTTTTTTTTTACATTCAGGACAGTTTAAAAAAAGTCATTTTGTTTCAAATATAATTTAGGAATGTTGATTATAAATTGGTTGTGCTTAGTTGTTAGTTTCATCATTGGCTACTGGCTACACTAGTTTTATGCAAGCGTCCATCGTTGTGCTTTTTCAAGCAAAATATGCCACCGAGCATCACAGTGACTCTCCTCGCTCATCTTTTCACTCACATCAGTGACTCTGCATTACAGATATGACATGAAGGCCGACTGTCAGACGGCTACTCACAGTTGACAAACTGCTGCTCCCTTGGCGAGCCGATGCTGACCAGGTGGCCGCTGACCTCCTGACAGCGCTGCTCTGCCTCAGACCAAGTGAGTCTGTCGTCAAAGTGTCTGTAACATCTGCCGTCAAACTCCATCCAGTCCTCAGGACAGCCCTCCGTAGCTAAACATGTTTTAGAAAAGAATTGTAAACAGTTTACTCCAGCTGCTCAGTTTAGTGTGAGCATGTAGATTGCATTGTTCCTAAGTTCATACCTCCATCCACATGGGGACGCTCCACAACAGCCGGAGTAACTGCTGACACTGATGGAGCCGTTGTCGGCCAGGCGTAGACTCCTTCTGGTGTGACTGAATCAACTGCAGACCCAGTGCCACTCTCCTCGGGTCCATCCCTGGATCCGGATTTGTCAAGAGTCGGTACAAACTCTACGTAAGCCGTCGTAGGAGTCGCTCTGCTCCCCGACGTTTGAGTTGAAGTGCCGCTGAATTCGGGGTGATGTCCTGACGCACTGCCTTCCCCGCTTATCTCCACCACACCCCGTCCCTCTTCAGTAAAGTCTGTGATTACTTCAATCATGTCATCCTTGGTCAGGTAGATGACTTTGTCGTGCTTTGGAGATGGGTCTCCGGAGGCAGAGCCACTGCCTGAAACACCAGATGGAAAGCCACTGGGAAAGCCACTGGGGTACCCCGATTCAGACGGCTGATATCCAGACACTTCTTGCTCCCCAGATTGCTGGGGTGTGAGGTCAACCCCACTGCTGTCGACAAACAAAATGCCAGAAAACCCGCCCGAGCCGGAAGCAGACACATCTCCTGATCCAGAAACACTTGATCCCCCGCTGGTGTCGATCCCTCCCTGGCCAAACTCCTGCGTCGTTGTGCCATTCTTCAGGGTTTTTGACAAATCCACCATCTCTTCATCCACCAAAGTGACCACTGTGTCATCACCACTGCCACTGATGTCCCCACTTCCAATTCTGCCGCCTGATCCAAGTATGCCAGATCTGGATCCAGATCCAGATTCAGACCCAGATGCACTCCCACTATCTCCAGATGTGATGAAAACCGTACTGCCCTCCTTCCCTTCCTCAGGGCTTCCAGAGGCGGACCGCTCGCCGGAAAGCACATCGGGTGTTCCGCTGAAGGTCACGCCTTGTCCTGACCCGGATGCGTCTCCGCTGCTGGTGGAGGTAGAAGGTTCCCCGGAGGGCTCCCCGCTGGCTGACGGGTCACCTGAACCAGAACCCGACTCATTGACCGGGACAGGAGGGAGATCGGATTTCCCTGTAAAACAGGATGGAAACAGAAATGAGATTAAATTTGATTCTTAGATTTCTTTTTGTCATTGTTGATTCAATAAATCAATAACTGTGTATATACCGCGACAATCACTATCAATATCAACAGATAATATGTCACATAGAATATCCAATAATTTCACTGAACTCTGATCCAGAACCGCACGGCATTCTGGGAGATGTAGGGAGAGGAAAGGCTTTAGGTATCGACCTCTCAAAGCTGAGTAACTAACAGCAGCAGCAGTTTAAGGTTTGGCCTCAAAGCTGCTTAAAAATGAAAATCAACAACGTGGAGAAAGTCGGAGAAAAAATGAGAACAACTCAAGAGGAAATAAAATAGAAAAGGTTTGGAAATAATCACACATTTAAAACAAAAAATAATTAATAATTATCAATACCGACTGATGCAAAATGTTTATATCGTGATACATTTTTCAGCCATCACGTCTTGCACTGCTCTGTCTTTGTCTTTACTTGACACTTGATTTCAGAAATATTTAAGCTTTTACCGTAATGAGACTTTTATGGTTTCTGAGCCACGTTACCTGTTGGAGCAACTTGTACAGGAGTAACAACAGTTTCTCTGATAACTTCGTCGGTCGTATTCTCAGTAGTTACATTGTAGCCAACTGCAGTTTCATCTAGAAGAGAAAAAGACAGTTCGAAGAGGTGATAGAAACATTTCCAACACAAATATCTGTGTTCAAAAAGCTCAGTTTCACTTTATTAACAAGCACCAAAAAGCCTTGCCTTTCTTAGTAGGAGCAACGTCAACTGGTCGGATGGTTGTAGCCTTGCTGACGTATTCAGGCTTTGCCGTTTGAGAGACCGTGATGGGAGTTTGGGGATCAACAGAAGTTTGAGCTGAACATGAAAAAAAGAGAAAACAGACTTTATTCTTAAAATGAAAGACGATTTTGAATCACACTTTTCTACGTCAATCTTTATTTTGATCATATTTTCACCTTTTAAATAAATACATAAATTTAAAAAAAGGAGTTAAAACCACACCCAGCCAATTATAACCTCTAAAGCAGTAGGCGTCGTAGCGTGAATGCTCATCGGGAAATCCTGTCTGGTTGGGGAAGGCGTAGATGGTGCGCACCCCGACCTCTCCGCCCCCACAGTGAGATTTGGGGGTTGTGACGGGGAAGCGGACGCTGCGGTCCATGAGCCAGCCTGGCCGGCATTTGTCGAGTCCTTGTCTCCAGGCGGCGTGCAGCTCCCCAGGCGTGGCCAGGCTGCTGTTGAGCTTCTGGCAGTGCTGCACAGCCTCGTCGTAGGAGAAGCTGTCGTAGTCGGTGGTGAAGAAGACCTCACCTGGCAGAGAGAGGGACGCATGTGGGGGTTTAGGAACGACTGGGGAGATCAGTTTATGGACAATTCATTCCTACTAATTTAAGTACCAGTACTACCATCAGTGGTATGGATAATTGGCTGGTGTGAAGTTTATTACAGCCAGCCTTGTTGGGCAACTTACAAAGACGTGTAACATCCATAACATCGACTTCTAAATCCAGAGAACGCCACAGTTGGACACACAATTAATGTAAAAAAAATGCAACAAAACAAAAACTGAAGTTTTCAAAAGGGCACTGTTTTCCTGAGGAAAAAGAGTTGAAGCACCACCTAGTGTCCATCTATGCAAGTTCCTGACTAGCATATTGGATTTCTAACTTTTTATAACAAGTGGAGCCTCAGTAAATTCAAACTGTTATAGATACCACCCACCAGCGACTGAGAGACAAATTACAGTACAAGAGGATTAAGAGTGTTTCTGTGTTAAGTTTTAAAGTTATTTTTCATTGGCGCAGACTGTGCATAACAGCTTATCTTAGAAGAAAACATTTCCAAGTTTTAGCTTTCAATAAATAACACCCTGATGGCCCTGAAGTTGGGACTCTAAATGGGAAAGTCTGAGTTCTTACCAGCCTCAGTCTCAAAATCTTACTGTATGTGGCAGCCTTGCGCAACCCCCCTCCCCCCTCCACCCCTCCAAAAAAAACAGTGATATCTAATGTGAAAAACTGTACATTTGCAATTCTGACAAATATTTCACACAGTCCTTTAGTGAGCATTTTTCTACAGAGCTACAAAGGTGCAAAATCCAGATAAATGCCCCTTTAGATTTCAATGCTAACAAAACAGAGTAACTAAACCATGTGAGGTCTGGAGAAATAGAGCACAGTATATATGCTGCACTGTTCTTTAAAGAGGTTTCAATGCAGTTATCTTATTTTCCCTACTTGAGCTTAAACTCTTTCATATTCACCTCACAAATAACCGATACCAAGATTTTGGCAGCGTACCACTACTTGCACAATCTTAAAAGTATGGTATTAGGGCATTAATTTAGACCAATATTTGACATTTGATTTTTACCTCTTAAGCCGTCCACGTAACAGAAGACGTCGTAGCGCTCACTGGCTGGTCTCAGGCCGTACGACCTCACTCCTGGGAGGTCTAGCAGGTCACCAGCACAGTTGCTTCTGGGTGACACAATCGGATACCTGGGCAGGACAAGCAGAATGAATATGAACATTTTCACTGATTAAGTTGAAGTTAGTATAATAACGTCAGAGTCGTATGAAAGGGAAGTCGGCTTTGTGGAGACTTTGTCAAGCCGATGTCCTGGTTGTCTTGCTCACCGCACAGATTGGTCGCGCAGCCAGCCGGCGTCACATCGGTGCAGGCCTTTCTCAAAAGCTGCGTACAGCTGCTGAGGGCTGGCGATAACTGCTCCGATGGCTCGGCAAGCCAGCTCAGCCTCCAGAAAGGTCAGAGTGTAACGACCAGTGATGGGTCGGTAGTGGAACACCACACCTTGGACAGAAGGAGGAATGAAGAAAATGGCGTCTGAGAGGACTGTTTTATCTGTACGAACATTCAAGTCAAGTGAATTGATTTATGAACTCCAGTAATCTAGCTCAGGATGTAATATAGTTTAAAAAGAAAAATCATTGAAATAACCAGTTGCCAGTCGATTGAAAGATATAAAAATAAATTTTAAAAATCGTAAAATCAATTCTAAAGGCAGTAGCTTTTCAGAAGGCAGCTAATGCAAAGAAGCCAGAAGCAGAGAAATGTGGTTCTGCTTGTGTGCGCCAGTTAAAAGTTGAGCTGCAGCCTTTTGGACCAACTGCAGTTGGCCAATCTGTGTCACTCCGTTGCCAACATAAAGACAACTGCAATAGCCCAGGTTTGATGTAATGAATGCATTTGGAGCTGAAAGCATGGAGTTTTTTTTTTTTCCCCCAAATTAGTTGATAGAAGGTCACCAAAAGACAGAAACTCTTTTGCTGCCATTTTTGACTGCAAAAATCCTATTCTCAGGACGAAATTGACTTGTTCATTAAAGCTTAAGTTATCTCGAGTTACTCTCAGGAGTTCTGGTACAGGATGTTATGTCATTCCTAAGTTCTAAACGGCTAAAATCTTGAAATGTCATTTACTTATATGATGGTAAATAGTAAAAATGATCCAAACTCTACTCTGGTGCAATCAAAGTCAGTCGACCCTAGAATTCCAGTTGGTAGAAAAATAATTCAAAGTTGAGGCCATTGCTTTGTCTTTGACCAACCCAAGCCAGCGCTGCCAAAAATGAAAAGGAGCCCCTCTCTTTTAACGGGGAAAAAGCTCCAACAGAACCAGAGTCAGTAGGACCAACCATTTACGGCAACCAATGCGACTGAGACAGAGGAAAGACACAGAAGGCACTGGTTTCATGGTATTAGGAAAAACGTTTTTTTCAAAAATTACTTGCAGCAATACTGTTAGTGGTTTCGGCTGGGAGAAATGTGGTTAGACTGAGAATGTCTACAGTTGGTAATGTCATTCTGAGTGTATTGCTCCACATTATCAAAGGTTTTAACAGTTTTGATTTAACATAATAACTTCTTGTCATCAAGTAAATTGTCCAAAGCAGAGAAAGCTGCCATATTCCCAGTACTTATATTACAAATTTAAGTATGACAGCAGTTGAGGAAGGAAGCCAGGTGTCTTATTCTCAGAATCATAAATTATGCTTTTGGTTATATGCCCTACATACATTGTAGAACATTAGAAGCACAGAAGTCATTAAACTACAGCTGCTGGTCTATATAGAGGATGTCCCTGTTCTCTCTTGGGACACTTCTCTCTCTCTTTGCGGTACTACAACCTACATTAGAGTCGACCCAGAGAAGATTTTCTATAAAACTTCCTTGGATCAGCCTGTGCCCTGTTTTTGCACAGTTATGTTTCCTTCTTCTAGTAAATACCTTGAAAAACAAAGATGTTCCAAACATTGTTTTCATTCATTCATAGAAAGTTTACCTGTGGGACCCATAGTCACACCTTCTCTGGACAGATGTGGCAATGGGGAGAGAGTTTCTACTTCTCCAGTCTTGCCCTCTTCACCCCCTTGTGGAGGCGTTGGGGTTGGGAGGGGCACAGCGCTAGATGCAAACTGGATGTCTGGGAAGTCAGTGGCCCTACCAGGCACTTCACCTTCATCATCCTCTGAGGAGTCAGGATAGTGAGATATTTACACTTTTGAAACACAGCAAGACACAGAGCTCATTAGCAAAGACATCAAACACTTCAAAAATGTGATATTATTTATATTTAAGCCTCTTGACTTCTTTGAAAATCCAGAGTTGTTCTCAAAGAATCACCAACCTTGGAAGCAGACTGCATCGTAACGAGAGTCTGGGTGGGGGTATCCGGTTTGGTTGGGGAACAAGTAGACAGTTCTTACTCCAATAAGCCCCCCTCCACATTGAGGCCTGGGGATGTTGATGGGGTATCGTACACTCCTGTCTGCCAGCCAGCCAGCATTACAGACATCCATGCCATTCTTCCAGGCAAGGTATAGTTCTCCAGTAGTGGCCAGCCTCGCTCCCAGTTTGACACACTGGTCTTGTGCTTCATAGAAGCCAAATTTGTCAACAGACATGGAGTAGACAACCTTGCCTGGTTGGAGAGAGAGTTGAGAAATAAGATGAAAATGTGCCTTTGTTTTTAGATGGGGAAGGTCAAAGATTGCCCTTGTTTGTTAAGAATACCTGACATCTTCTCAGCAAAGCAGTACACGTCATAAGTTTCATTGACATCTCTAACACCATAGGTCCTCACTCCAGGAAAGTTTTCCTTATCTCCAAAGCAAGGTTCTCGAGGCTCATGAATAGGGTACCTGGAGAGAACAGAAATTTTAGTCAACCTGATGGTTTGAGGTAACGTTCTAAATGATTTTTTTTTTAACCAATCATTAATGCACTGAGTAGAGACAAATATGACTTTGTGGGCATTCTGAAAGCAGATTGTTGTACAAGTCTCTCAAACTCTGGTAATAGTTAGTGTACCTCACAGTTTGATCTGAGAGCCACCCGGCATCACACTGGTGGTATCCGTCATCGTAAGCGGCTTGGAGTTGTGCGGGAGTTGCAATGGTGGCACTGTTCTGAACACAGGCCTCTTTGGCTTTTTCAAATGTTAGGGTGTAGCGGGTGGAGATGGCACGATAGTGGAATACAACACCTGTCAAGAAATAGAGTCATTGTAATAATCTCTGGTAAACCCTCTCATGACGCGTGGTTTCTCTCTAATTGTTTCACTCTTCTTTATCAACCACCAACTAAACATGAGTGCTGTTTCTAGAGGCAATGTATCGAAATATATAGGAGTGATCAATGAAACTTTATGCTCTACTGAACAAAGTCGTATAAATCTGAAGCATACCTTGAACCTGGAGGTCTACAATGTCAGAGCTGTCCTCAACACCATGGGTCACTTTGCATCGATAGGTACCAGAGTCTTTGGACCTCAGTTCCGTTATCTCAATGGTAGCATCAGTAGGAACCCGCGGGTAGCCGACCAACGTCACCCTGTCCAGATACTCTGTCTCCACATAAACCTTCCCCTCCGACGCTACCAGGATTGGAATAACTTTCTCCTTGGTGATGTAGGTCCACTTGATTCTGTGAGCTAGCGGCGCGACGGTGGGTGCTCCTGGGTCATTCACAGTGCTTCCTCGGAAGTAGCATGGCACAGCTACCTTTCCTCCCAGCAGTGGGCGGAGAGGCACCTCAGCAGGGATGCTGACATGCAATGAGCCAACTATATCTGCGGTAAAAATAAATAGATGATGCATTTTGTGCAGTGATCAGGAGTGCAGTCAGATGTACTATAAAACGTTTGTGTTAGGGGAAAAATAGGGAGAAAATGTCAATGATGCTATTGGCCATGTAAAGTTATATTAATTTAAATCAGACATTGTTCATTTAATCAAAATTTGTAGATTTATTTTATTATTGAAAATATAGATATAAAGGTGAACATTTTGCAATGCAATTACTTTTTCAGATTTAATTTATAAAGAAATTATTGTTTGTGTCCTGCGAGTTTATTCAGCTGATTTTTTTCTCACAAAATCATACATGGCGAAACACCACCGAACTAGGTTGTGGGTGGATTTGGTACTGAAAATTTTGTCTTTAGAAAAACCCCAACTAATTGTGTCTTAATCAAATTTGAATTTTGGTTTGTATATTGGTGAAAAGGTTGCTCTCACACAGACATAAACACTACATCTCTTCAACTATCGAGCACAATGACATGCATTATCCATAGGCAGAATGTTGTGATTCCTTACCATTAGGGTCTTTAAGTATCGTTGTTGCCAAGATTATGGGCAAAGACACACCGAGCAGAAGGAGGGTTGTCATTTTCACCTGAGAAATACAAAAATACACAATAATGATAATCTGCATGTTTATCAAAATGGACAAAAAAAAGTCTGAACACGTATAACGTTTTCTCCTATTAGCTATCGTAGTAAAAATTAAAGGTAAATTAATGCACAAACTTTAAGGATGGGTTTTTTGCTTCTGTCTTTCAAGCTCCTGTTCTCATATGTTAAATTCCTTTTGATCCAGACTACCGTACAGTGTGCTTGGATATTGCTTCAAGCTAATTAAGCAAAATGGAAATAAAATGTCAACTGGTGTTTGGTATGGAATGAATGTCCCGTTTTGTGTTTCTGGACATAGGAAAATACATACACTGTATAGAAGGACACATAGCCTTTATTTCCTCAGGCTGGTATGAAATCAGACTAAAGTTTTCCTGCTTTGAGTCATTTATAATAAGTATAACTACTCCAACTTGCTGAAAGTCAAAATGACAAGAAAGGTATTTCATTACTTTCTTCAGAGTTGAACGTTTTCACACATTTTCTCAAACATTTGGTAGAATTGCTTTTTAAACTGAATGACTTTTGGGATCATCCTCCCAGAACCTTCTCACAATAGTCTACTAGGATTTTGGGCGGTTCCTCCTGACAGAACTGGTCTATTCGAGTCGTGTTTGTGACTCACCTTGCTCTCACACACCCTTTAACATTGCTTGTTAATTTCTACAGGAGATCAGAGCTTTGTGGTCCCCAGAGCCACTTTGTAACCATATTGGCCATGCAGTTAAGTTCAAGGTGAGTTTAGGAGACCCGTTTTCACCCGAGCTTCTATTTCATGGCTGACATCCTGACATATTGCTTTAGTATTTCCACATGAAGTCCTTTCATAATGTTGGACAAACGATGCTGCTGCCCCTGTACTTTAAAGCTCACCTGATGTTTTCAGGCTTGCAGTTATCCCACTTTTAGCCAAACATGTACGTTTTTGTTTTATCAAACTTCAGAAAATGACTTTAGAAGTTCAGGCCTAGTCCTTGAGTGCTTTTGCCAGCTGTAATCTGCGTTTTGGAGTAAGAAATTCGTCCTATCTGGACTGTTTTTCAGCCCATATTGGTAAAGGACTCTTTTTCATTCCCCACCAACCAGCCCTTTCAAGAGATTTTGTTCCGAGGTGGATTCCCACATTTCACACCAAAACATGGTCATCTCTGTGACACAGAACATATCTCCTTACTAAAGAGTACAATGGCTGGACACATATGATCATCGTTTCCTGAAGAGTACGAGCTACGATTGGAGGATTGAGGATGATTCGTATGACTGTTCTGAAACTCTTGGGTCGAAGTGATTTTTGTTTCACACTTTTTTTTTAATTTTCAAAATATAAAAGAACAAACAACACATAGCTGTGTAGTTATGGTATAAGCTGAATTGTGAACTGATTTTTTTTTAATCAAATACATTTCATTTGTTGAAAATTGTAAAAACAATAAAAAAATTTTTTTTATACTGATGGGTTTTTTTGTTTCCTGACTAAATAGCAAATAGCATGTTATGAAGAATTGAAGGGACTGTATATGGTGGGAAGATCCTGATTTCTTGCTTTTAAGTACCTTTTCATTGAAAATTTACACTGGAAAAGACTCCTGCTCCTTTTGGGCAGTAATGCTCACTGAATTCATCATTCTCATCGTCGGTTTTTATTGGAAGTGTTACAAAAACCCGACAACCCGGCCGCCAGCTGATGCCTCAGTGAGCTTCTGTATCACAGCCTCATGTCTGCCAACGCCTGCTTAGCACACAGAGCTCATTTCTCACACCTTTTCACAGCTCTGACGCACAGCACACTCAGACATATTAAAACCGCTGAAGGTCTCAACTGAACCATAATTGTGCCGCATTCACAATTATTTTGATTCCAATGATTCACTTTCTGCTAAAGAGCCCCCTGGCGGTTGAAGAAAAATACACGGAAAAGCCACACCGGACGACAAGCCGCATGGCTCAAAGCGTGGGGAAAAAAAGGAGTCTGAAAAATACTATGTTTTTTCAATTGAACTGAAATTAAAGTCTTGTCTCGGGATCCTAATTGGGCCACATATGTCTTGATAGAAAACATTCCACCGTAGCTCAGGCTTTGTTTTTCCAATTGAATTTATTTAAAAAATATTTTTAATTTCCCTTTGGATTTATAAATTAAAATTCTCTGCAGTTTTTCTCCGATTTTATTTCACAACTGTCTTATCAAAGAAGCAAAAAATCCACACAGTATGATGGTGCCACCATCACTATAGGGACGGTGTGTTCAGGGTAAAGTGCAGTGTTAGCTGTTGTCATGGCATCAGCGTTCCATATGCTCTTCTAATCTGGAACAAACTTCCAGAAAACTGCAGAAACACTGGGTTCCTTAAATCAAGGCTAACAAACCATTTGTTTAGAGTTGGTAGTGGAATCAAAGGCAACATTGATCAGTATATTTGATATATGTGTGCTTGATGATGGCATTCCTGTCTCATAATTGGTCACTGTATAATATCTTTTAAAGCACTTTGAACGCATCATTTTAACTCTGTGACGCGCTCCAGCATCTGGGAGTCAGTCTCCCCGGCAGGTCAGGTTCAGCCAATCAGCTGCCGCTCCACACTGCGCCCATTCAGCCGCGCGTGGCGGCTGCTGCCACGGTGGTATGTTCTGGTCCCCACCGACCTGGAGGGCAGCATAAGGCTCCGGTCTGTTCCAGGAGGGAACGGCCGGTGGGGCTGAAAGGGGCGGGGCCTCCGGGATGGCGCGACCCTGCCAAGGTAAACACAAGGCGGGCATCCAGAGACCCACCCCACCCCCCTGTCCACCCACTCTGCTCTCGCCCAGCGGCAGAACAGAGCTGACATTGATATGCGCGCGCACAAGGAAACACAGGGCGGCACTCATGGCTCGTCGAGGGGAGGTGAAGGAACTCACGACTGAAGCCTCTGGTTTTAGGGAGGGTAAAAAAAACCCAAAAAACGCCTGGAAATGTGTGAGCACACGCAGAGCCCACCGACACGTACTGTACGAGCTGTGTTTGGGAGCACACACAGACTGTTGTACAGTGAGATGGGCGGAAAGCAAACGCCTCGTGCTCACACCAACCCGCCCATAGGTGTGTTATAGTACCTGACGGGGTCAGAGGTCGAGGACGTGTTCCGGCGGCTCCCCGAACGTGTCGCACGTTTTTCACCCAGGAGCGTCACGTCGCACACTGACAACCTGAAGCACACCAAGCAGTGAAGGCATTTCGGCTTCAGCCAAACCTCGGTCAACTCAAGAGTTAAAACCTTGTTAATTACGATTCACAGCGCGTGCGCGTCCAGTTTAACGTAACCATGGCGACGGGATGTCGCGCTCTGCCAGTTTTTTTTTTTTTTCCCAGCTTTGGCGAAAATTAAACAAGACAGTGATCAAGTCTGTGAGCTCTAGAATCAGCTGCTCTGGATGATGACTAGAGACTCAATATAAGGAAATGAAGACAGGAGAAAAGTCTACAAAATACCTTTAAGACACCTGGAGGGCAGTATAAGGCTTTAAGATACACCTAAATATTAATAATTTAGTTGGTTTTAGTTAGATTTTAATGGAAAAATCTCAGAAATCTATTGGCATCCTTCTCTGAACTCAATGGAAAAATATTCTAATAACATTTTCATTAGTATTTTTGCATGTTTCCACTGATATTTTTGATGATTTACATTTGGAGCTCCAAGTTTTCCAGTTTTGGACGCCTCCTTGACGTCCCAACCACAATCTTTAGTTCCCTTAATAGATTCTCCATCAGATTGAAGTCAAAACATCAACGCCGCATCCAATCAGAGGCAACGTTGGTAGAATTCAAAGATTATTTTAAAAGCGACATTGACCAGGGCTACGAAGAACTTTGAAAAGCCTGAGAACGAGGTGATGCTTGAAATAGGAACCCCTTACAAAATTAGTGGCGAAATTAAACTAATGACAAAACACTGGCAATAGAGTAAAAGCTGCCCCTTCACAGAAACTCTGGAGGCACCCAAAAAAAAAAAATCCTGTAAAAACAGCAAACTCTTCCAGACCAACTCACCATTTGTATTCAATGATAAAAAAAAACAAGAAAAAAAAAAATCAAACTTATGAGTGAAAACAATTCCTAAATAATCGCAGAAAGAGTCACGAAAGCATCTTCCAGGACCTCATCTGCATATTCCAGTGTGTTGGACTGGAAAACGTACCGTATATTCTGCTGTTGCTCCCAGTGCCGGTGACTCCAGGGGCCTCTCGCTCCTGCCTGTGTAGGAGGACAGAAAGAAGCTCTATGCAGCTACCACACATTTAGATGCTGGGAGGAGAGGGAGGAAGAGAACGGGAGGCGAGGAGGAGGGGAGCAGGGGGGGGTAGTCCAGAGCCAGTTAGTGAGGTCATGCAAGCTGCCCCGAATTTCAGGGCGGGAGACAAAAAAAAAAAAAAAGAGTGGCTTAAGAAGAATTTTTAAACACATACATGCAGGAGTGGGTTCAGGCTACGATGTTGTCAGGTTGATGAGGTTCTAATAAACACAGTTCCACACAATTTGACTTTAGATTGCGTGGCATCTGAATTGTGAATTAATTTTGTGGAGGTTTTAATTGAGATATGAATACTGGAATTTTTCTGCATCACCCTGAGACGAAACGGAAACAGCTTTAACAGAGTTGCATGTCTTTGAGAAAAAACCCTAAAGGAGCAGTGTTGTGTGTTTTCCAGGCACATAGTGACATTTTATAGCACAAGCAAGTAACTATGTTGCCTTTGCAATTTAACACCTTGAAATTGAGTCTCTATGTCTTTAAAAACTCCACCTCCTGGAAGTCATCGAGACAGCACTCCATGAATTCTTTAACAATGTTTTTCCACCAGGTGTTTGCTAATTCTGCTGGCTAGTCTGAAGGAGCTGAGTGCTTCTCTGCGAGGCGGAGGCTCGGAGACTTGGAAGCTGCAGTTCCAAGGAGTAAAGAATTTCTCAAGCATGAAACAGAATCAAGGTAACACTCCAGATATGATGCTGACGAGGGAATAACTTTATAACACAATGCACAGCTAAAAAAAGTTGATTTCACATAATCCCACTCCTTCAACATGGCTTCACGTATTTTTCCAACGCTCAAACGTTTCGCAGCATAGCCTACTTCAAATGCACCGATTGGAAACGTTCCAAATTAACACCGTCGAAATACGGCCGGGAAAATGAAAGAGACTGCGAACATGGCGTCCTGATTGTGTTCTGCTGATCAAAAAGTGAAAAGAGTCACCGGGTTTATTTGCTTTAGCATCCTTTTGGGCGTGCGCGGGCGTCCCGTTGCTGCACAGTGCGCGCTGTGTCTGTGTGCATTCAGTGTAAACTCAAACAGCCTAATGTTGGCCTGAGGTTGTGGAAAGGTGTGTCTCCCACTCGTCTCCCACCCAGGCTCTATTCAAAGGTGTAAATGCCGGCAGTGTGCACCGAGACACGGACACACGCCCAGCCGTCCGCGTTTTCAAAGGAGAAAAGATTTAAACAGCTGATTTGCTGCCATTTTCGGCTTGTTTGGAGGGCCGGGTGTTTTTCCTCCGCCGCTCGCAGATGAAACAGGAACATAAGGTTTACTCGCCATCATTCATGTCAGTCTGCTGTCGCATTCAGATATTATTTCGGGAAGGTAGACATCCCAGAAAATCAGATTATTGCTAAATGTAACTTTATTACTGAACAGAATTTTTTTTGCTTGAATTTCGATTCATTTAAAAAAAAGAAAGACTTTTCCAAGCATTGAGCAACCATAGCGTCCATTTATGTGGCAGTAGTGTTCTTGATAGAAAGTTTCTACTTCACTTGATGAGCTACAGTCGACTTTTTTTTTTCCTCTGATTTTGATGACGACAAGGTGAAGCATCAATACAACCAACAAAGATTTTATTAAACTGCGTTTTCATCACAAATGTAAAAAATGTTGATGCTTGTATAAAAAAACACTTTTTTTACAATTACAGCTTTCCCATTAAATAAGTCAGTTCAATGTTTAAGTTTAATCATTATAACCAACTAAAGAAAGTAAATTAATCAGAAATAAGAATAAGGGACAAGTGGTGAAAACAACTGAACCACTTTGTCACACACACCTAGAAATAGGCCTCTGTCTCTTTAAGAACCTCCAATCGTTTCCGACACGCCATTGCAACAATGCTTCTCCATTATACAACCGTTGTTACTAGATGCTTGTGTCACATCATTCATCAATCAATGAGTCACCGACATAAAGAATTTTGGCTTGGATGAATGTGCCATTCATTAACGAATGGGACAAATCAACCATTTGCTCCGTGATATTGAAACTGATGACGAATTCAGGTAATAATTTAGTCCTGTGGATGGAGTAAATAAAATGTTTATTTTTTTTCCCTCTCATGGCTCAAATACCTTTTCTGGTATATTAAAGCGTCAGCTGTTTGAAACTGGACTGGGTTGATGAAAATTGCATTGTAAAGGCTTCTTGTTTTGGAAGCGGTGTCTGTCGAAACACACAGGGGTTCTGTAGACGCAGAGAGCTGCTGTGTTTTCATAGCCTGGGTCATAAAATGACTTGGATGTTTCTAAATCTAGTGTTACTCAATGCTATATTTACAGAGCCGTGAAAAAGTAAGTTCCACCTTAGAGGTTCCTTCTGTTTTTGTTTGTTTGCTTCACCTAAATGTGTCGACATCAAATGTTGGATTGTACAACCTGAGGAAAAAACTGAATTTATTGTTCTCATTATATATGGACAGCTGTTTTTCCTGTTCTGTTCCTTTTCTCTCCTCTTGCTGCAGGTGTAGAAGCAGCACTTCTTATATTCTCTTTTTCTTTCTCTCCTTTACTCCAGTTTCCTTTCCCTTTAAACATGTCTTCTTACTTTCTCCCTTTCTTTTCTCATTTCTTTTCCATCTCTATCTTCATTACATTTCAAAGGAGTCCAAATCAACTTCTAATAAAGTCTAATAAAGTTTGTGTTTATATATATATATATATATATATGTGGCTTTTGCTGTGGAGCCCCACAGCAAAAGCCATATTCCCAATTCATTTGTGTGAAAGTAAATCGTTTGTGTGAAAGTAAATCGTTTGTGCCGCACCTTTGCGCTGTCGTGGTGAAGAGGACATGTTAAAAATGAACAAACTATAAAACTAAATGAGAAAATAGCTGTTTTTTTCCCCCTCTTGGTAGCCTGTTCAAGGTCTCGCCTCATATCAACCTGGTCTTGTCATAATCAGGCCTGGGTGAGGCTAAAAAATTGAAATCGACTTTTTAAAAAATGTGCTTTCAAGATTTAACAAGCTGGTGTTTCTGTTTTCCCATGGGGTCAGATTGAGCTAAGTTGTCTTTAAAGGGGCAGTGTTGTGTATTTTCTAGGCACGTCGCGCCTGTGCCACAACAACGTAACTATGTGACCTTCAGTTGTTCTTAAAATGAATGAAATGAAATCTGACTTTGTAATTAAATGCCTTGAAACCTCTTTTTTTCTGAAGCTCTTCGCCCAAGAAGCCATCACAACATGGCTCCTCTGTTAACCCTTTAACAGGGTTTTACCAGCGTTTCATTGAGAAGTGGCTCCTATAATTTGTCCAGGAGATGAACAGTTCCACCAGGTGTCTGCTAATTGCTGCTGGCTAGTCTGAAGGAGCTGAGTTGGGGAGTTGCGGTGAAGGGCTAGTCTGTCCTCAAAGGCAGAGCTAGGTTCTTCCAGGCATTTAGCACAGCTGAATGATTGCAATGGAGGTTAAAGGATTTCTCAAACATGCAAGAAGGAATCAAAGCGACACTCCAGTTATGGTTTTGATGAGGGAATAATATGGTAACATGATGTAGAACTTGAAAAAAAGTCAGTTTTACATAATTCAAGCCCAGTAAAATACAGGAACCTTCCCTTTTGATATTATTCAAGATATTTGATATTAAAATTTGTTTGAGGAAGTGGCGCATTTAAATGAACGTGGAAATGAATAAATCCCAGATGTAGTTAAACTAAGAATCTGTGGACAACTGGTTTATTTAAGATTTCTGTTGAGTTCCGTCATTATTATAGACACCTAAAAACATAAGAAGGAGTGAGTTAACTTTAGTTGTTGAGTCACGCTTTACTAAAAGTGTTCAGTTTTAGTAAACTCCGGCTGGTTGGGCCTCGCTCCGGCCCATTTGCCGCCTCCAGTTAGCACAGACCTTATCTGTTGTAGGGACGTGCTGAAGTGTCCAGGTAGCCTGTGAAAGGGCCCTCTGAGCGGACGGGGCCGACCGGCCGGCCAGCACAGAGTTTCCTGTGTTCCTCAGCTCAAATAATCCAAATATGAGAAGCCGCACGCTGGAAACAAGCTGGAAAACTGCTGACACGGATTTTGAAAAAGGATCATCTGTAAGCAGACTGAGGTTTTTTCTCAGGGGGTGACAGATTTCAAGCATACGCAAAGTGCTGAGGCATCGATTTTTCCTTCTTTTTTTTTTCTAAATATTTGAGGCAATGGATTTTCTGTGTTCCTACAGAGGCGTATGCACACGTCTCTGAGCCCTCTTCCTCACACACACACACACACACACACACACACACACACACACACACACACACACACACACACACACACACACACACACACACACACACACACACACACACACACACACACACACTCTGGACTTCCACACACACACACACACACATGCATACACTCCCTGGACTTCCACACACACTTGTGTACACATTGTGTGCAGAAGCATGTGGTTGCGCAACAGGAACTCTGCAGTTGCTGGACACGTGAGAGATTTTACTCCGGGTTTTGTTCTGAGGCCAAGTTAAAGTATTCAAAGGCCTTTAACTTTATTGCAAGTTTACAAACACAACAACATGACCAAAACAAAGTAAGAGGAGAGTGAGCCGGATTGTCAACATTTTTTTTTACCAATGCAAGTTTTCTACATATTTATTTGTATTCAGCTCTCTAGAGTCAAGAATAAAACTAGCAGTGATTCGAAGCAATTCTACCACATGATGCTGCCACCACCGTGCTTTGCTATACCAGTGCCGGGTTATTGGCACTATTAGTTTTCTTCCCTTTTTGTGCATATAAGCCAAAAAGTCAAAGTTCAATCTAATACAGCTGTATTGTCTTCTTCAACATGTTTGCTGTGGCTAGACTGAAAACACGGATTTTTACAGTTTGTGGCACAATTTTATAGTTAAAACCAGAAGTTTGCATACATCAAATAAAAAGGCACAAACAGGTCTATTTTTCCCTGATTGTATGAAGTTTAATCAGTTCATTTTTGTTTTTATTTCAGGCCAGTTAGAATCACCACAATAATTTCTATTTGCTGAATACCACAATATTGAGAGAGCACAGTCATATGCAATCGATTAGAATATAGGTCTCGATTAATGGGGGATTAATTTAAAGCAACCGCCTCTGATGTACTTCTTACCATTCTGTGTCTGTATTCCTATCCACTACAAGCAAGGATAAGTGTGTGTGTGTGTGTGTGTGTGTGTGCGTGTGTGTGTGAGGGAAAGAGAGAGAGAGCGTGTTGACTCAGCCTCTTGCAGCCTATCACGTAGCAGAGCAACATATTTCACAACCTCTGCCCAACTGTGAATGGCTGCTTTATTGCTGTCAAGTCTCGCAAACTAAATTTGCACAGTTGTACTAATTTACGAGCTGCACAGCCCGTAAAGACCGGCGACAGATATGGACGAGATGTCAGAGCGAGCCCTGTTCTCGGTGTCCTCCAAGTCCCTCCAGCTCCCGGCTTTTGATCTAAAAATAAATGTCGAGCGCAAATAAATGTTAATGTAAACAGATCTCACGGGCTGCAAGACAAAATGCACTTAAACGCTTGGCTTATGTGCAGCAGAGATGCAGAGAAAGATTCTTACATTCGAGCTTACATGGTGTCTGTAATTACATATGAAGTGCTTGAAATAGAGGAAGATGATAGATATTTGGTGCATTACTTTCGTTGTTAACACTTGCCTTATTTAATGGAGCCATGAAATCCTTGCTTTACTAGAAAGCTGCGAAGAGTTTGTGACCTTAAACCCATGCATTGTTGACCAAAGCAGGAGAGCTGTGATCAATTTGATTGATTCTATAAGACAAGTGGAAGATTTCGCAGTAGATTAGCCAACGTCTGAATCCAAATCCTACTGATAGTCTTGGGTTATGACCTTAAGCAGGCCGTTCATAGTTGAAATCTTTACCGGAGTTTTCACCCATTATTTTGGATCTTAAAGTACACCGGGCGTTTATGATGGTAAATCGAAGTTAAAAAATAAAAATGTCAACAAATATTTGGAGGAAGAACTCAGAATCCTGGACAAAGCCTCTGTGGACTTTTTGAATGACATGATGTCATTTGACGTTCGTTCGAATTTTTACAAGGTTCTGATGCTGAACATTTGAACTAACATTTACTCATCTGTTTCAACTCCCTTGAGGAGTGAATGTAAAAAGGAGCTTTATCAGATGCTGGGAGAGAGAGGGAGGAAAAGGGAGAGCTGGTTGCTGGTTTTTAGTGAACACTGCCTCTTTATGCTGCAGCGCACACACACTTCTCTGCTCCCTGTTGCATTATGGGAAAGAGATGCTCCACATTTACCTGACAGGTTTTCCAGCATCAAAAAAGTGGCTACGTCCAACTGTACGGCAGCCAGTTCTGACTTAATAGAGATCTGAGTGATCCTGCGCTTTCTGCCAGCTGGCTTGTTTTAGCGGCTTGCAGTACTTGAGTTTATTTTATTGGGATTTAATACGACGGACAAACAGAGAATATTGGACAATTGCTCAGCAGAATAAGTAAAATACATGGCTGCAAAACCTCGAGACCAGAGCAAAAGTTTCCTTTCCAACAGGACAGTGTGTCCTGTAGCTAAAAGGGAGTTGTTTTAATCGAAGCACGTTGCTTCCCGGTCAAGGTCCGGACACAAATTCAGTTGAGGAACTGGAACAAAACAAGAAAATAGATATTGAAAGCATTTGAGATTTGACAGGGATGTTGAATGCAACTGCTGACCATGTTTTTTGGATTTTTTAAATTTTATTTGTTGAAAACTATTTTTCCCCTCCTTTTGGTGCAACGAATAATAGAACATCACAAAGTAATGTGTGTTAGGATCTACTGTGCAAGATCCTAACACCATTTCTCAGTTTTTAACTTAATACTTCATATGTTTCTACTGAGATTTAAGTTTCTTTAAATCTACATTGGTGAAGTCATGCCACACAGTCCATGAAAGGTGTAATATGGCCAGTGTAGATAGAAAAAGAGGGAGTAAATTTGCTCCAATAAAATCAGTAGCTTTGAGAATAATCCCGGAAACTTTCTAGAATCAGGAAATTTCTGAGCTTTTAAAAGTTGCAAGTTTGCTAGAAAAACCTTCGAATTTTTTAGATTGACACCAGAGATTTTCTAGGAAAAACAAGGAAATTTGTGAGCTCCAAAAGTTGAAAACTTATAAATTTTGAGAACAATCTCAGAATTCTTTTTGAAAAAACATAGACATTTCTGATCTGCGAAAGTAAAAAAAATTGCAAGGAAAAAACCCCTGAAATGTTGAGATTAATCTCATCAAAAAGTTCTTGAAAAAAGTTCTGAGACAAATCTGAACATTTCTGAGCTTTTTTTTCTGCAAATTTTCTACTTTTGAAAATCAAACATTTCTGTTTTGTTTTTTTTTTTCCCACGGAAATTTACTCCGATTTGTTTCTATCTATAATGGTCCTAATACACCGTCGTGTTCATACTCAGTTAAACACACTTAATTAATTCAAACTCGTTGACTATTAGCAGATGCAGTATTTTTGACGCGCGGTGCTGTAATGCAGCCAGATGACCGCTAGATGGCGGACACGGCGCTGATTTAATAAAACGTCATCCTGGCTGTGGTGGCCCCGGGAGGAAGGGGAAGCAAGCAGCTCATAGCGGCAACAGCCGAGCAACGACGGCGGTGACCGGACATGAACTTTAGCGAGCAGCTTACAACTTTTACTCAGAGTTTAGAGAGAGAGACGACGGAAGCAGCAGCAGCCGCTTCACTTCACCTCTACTCAGTCAGAGGGAACAAGGAAGTGAGGCGCAGGCAGACTCCCAGTTGTTTTCCTCCGGTGAGTCTCTGCTCCTTAAAGGCTTCGTGTGCTCTCCTCATGGTAAAAACTGGGCTTTATTTACTGTGCAGGAGGGCAGAGACAAAAGCAGACCAGCCTGTTAGTGTTTCTTAACCACAGCGTATCCACCTGGAGTTCAGGGGAGGTGAGCAGGCCCGGTTCGGATTGGTTAAGTTTGGTTTTATTTGACCCATTCATTGCCTTTTGAAGCTTGTGACTTGAAACAAGCAGCTGGACACCTGTAGTGCTGGGCTCTGGCTTAAATGGAGGCTTGATTTCAGAGACGGTGAACACATGGACGCATCCGTGCTGAGTTGGTTGCTTTCTATTAACACGTAACGTGGGCAGAGCAACGCGTTTCAACGCGTCTGGAAGTTTATTTGTTTTTTCAAAGATTATTTTATTACGTGGAAGTCATTTTCCTGCAGCTGTGTTGCCCTGAATTTAAAACTGATTGTTCGTGTAGGCATTGAGGGCGCTTGTGTAAAAGTTGTTTCTCAGGATGTGAAACCTGGTGTCCAGAGGCGGTTCTTGCATGACTGGGTTCCTGGGCGAGCCTCTCTTTCTGGCAGTGGAGTCCCAGAATTTCAAGACGGTGTCTGCGTAACACTTTTTACGCAGACACCGTTATTTATTTATTTTCAGTGAAAATCCAGTCGAGGTCTTTTCAGACTCATAGGGAGGGTCAATTTAATTTAGCGCCACATAATAAACTGAGAATGACATCAAACATTAATTAGCATTCGTGAACAGTTTCTGTTATGTTTTATTTTGTCTTAAGATTCCCCCTGAAATGAACACACATCGGCAACGGTCTGTATTGTTGAATTTCAAGTGGAACATTATTTTTAAAAAGTTGTTGCTTTGAGATGCACCAATCACAACTTTTGAGGTCAATTTCCCAAACTGAACTTTCTCACTTTCTCTCTCTCTCTCTCTCTCTCTCTCTCTCTCTCTCCTTTTTTTAATGCTTTAACCCTTCAGTATAGATTTCAGTATTTATGTCAGGAGCAGAGGCGACATAGTGGAGCAGTCGCTGTAAAACATTCTGAATGACGAAAAAAAAAGGTTACAAAATGTAAACGTTGGTCTGTTGCTAGCATCTTGTATTTACAAGCTGCGGGATGCAGACAGCAGTTTTGTGTGTGTACCCTGCAGAATGTTTTTACAAAAGTCTAGCAACACTTTCAAATTCAACTGGTTAAGCGTAAGTTTGAGCAGTTTTGCTGTAAACGCATTCAGACTTCTTCTTATCTCCTGAAAGTCCTGCTCTCTCTCCCTTTCTTGCAGCAGCCAAATATTATTGAGGCACTATTTCTCTATTTTTTTGGCGTCTAATGTATTGCCAGTTGTTGGCATGCTGTTGTCGTAAAACTGTCACCTTTGTACCTTCTGTGTATTTATCAAAATTGTTTTCTTTGTAGATTAGTTTGTTCTCTACTCTGTGTTACATAATCCTCATATTAAATGCTTGGAATGCATAAACACTGCAAGGTTTTTAGTTATCAGCTTAAAAGGTTTTATAAACACTCCTGAGATTTTATCTTACATATTTTGATGACAGTAGAAAAAAAATTTACTCTGTTTCTGGCCACCTAATTTCTTAACACCTCAATACACATACAGGAAAAGGCGACTGTTCTGCTGATGTTTGCGTCCTGATAACTATTGTTATCTTTTCTGTACTGATATTTTCATGGAGTTTGCCCACTTGATTTTATTTTCCACTGCATCTAATTATTAACTGCTTTTCTAATAAGTGAGTTAACAGCTTTTGACGAGAATAAGAAACATTTGCTGTTTTTCTTTGATATCAACAACCTTTTTTTTTTTCCCTAATAATTTTAGAATTACGCTTGTGGCTTCTGTGCTCAAGACGTGACCTCAGTTACTTCCAGACGTACACAACTGTTTATGGTCCCCGGCTGATGGGGATGGGAGCTAATGGCCGGCTCCTCCCTGTTGTAACCGCCACATTAGTGAGCTATGGCAGACGGTCTCAAAGGTTAAAAGCTTTTTGTGTGTGTGTGTGTGTAACCGGTGTCGTGTTGTGACGGAGACAACGAAGCGTCCACGGACCAACAGGTGGCAGCTGATGTCGCTCATCACCTCCTGCTAATTTATTCATGAGTGATTAAAAAGGGTTTTGTTTTTCACAGGGACCAATCTGCCTGGCAGAGGAAAGCCATAATAAAAGTGATTTCTCTCTGGCGACTTCTTTTTTATTTTTTTTATTTTTGTCATCTCATTAGGAAGAACTAAGTAGTTTTATGACTTGTGTCGAGTTAACCGGTGTCAGGATGTTAGCGTCTCCGTTAATTTGCGAACACGGCTCGTGTTGGTGCATATAAGCAGTTATTTTGTTGTGTGAATGTGAACTAAGATATGTTAATGCCTTTAAAATGCATACACACAACGTTTACAATAGTCCCACTGTTTAATATTTAAGCTTCAAAGCCATGAAATGTGTTCTGTTTGCTTTCGTTAAGCGATATAACACTGAGGGCGCAGTGTGACACTGTTCTCAGCTGTGTTCACACTGAACATCTGAAGAAAATGCAGATCAGACAATTCAAACTTTCTCCACCGGTACTGCTTACACATGTAGTTAACTGCTGGAGATGCTTTGCTAGATATCTTCTCGTGTCGTGGGAAATGATTCAAAGAAAACTTGGGGAGAGTGAGTGGCAGGACGGCCAGTCATGCATGAAAGATGCAGAAATGACCTGGCAGGCCTGACAGAACTTGCTGGCCTGAAAGGCTCTGGCTGCTCACACAGCATTGATCTCAATTGTTAGCATCTGCTGCCATAGCTGTCCAACAGTACAGTCAATACAACAATTAATATATTGTTGTATTGACTTCTGTTTCTAATTGAGAATTAGACTACTTCTAATTCTAGACTACTTGTGTCCCAGTAGTTGATGACTAGGAGGTCTGAAGGAACAGACATGTGGTTTTGTATGTATACATAACAGAAAACACATTTTTTGGTCTGGTTTGTTAAGACTCAGGTCCTGGTGTGTTAGTGACTTTAGTGTGGCACTTACTGTTTCAGTAGGAGGAATTTCTAGCAGCCAACAATCTGGTTGAGCCAAAAAAAAAAAAAATACTCTGCTCTCTGCATTCACTTCTGTGGGTCAACTATGTGCTCAGACTTTTCTCTTGGATATTTGCAAAGCTTCTGTAGGAACCCAAATGTGTGACGTTTGCGGTAGTAGCTTCGCCTTCGCCGTACCGTACCATTGGCCTATTGACCTACAGCTGAAGGTAGGCCAGAAATGGTGCAATACTGGTCCTGCAACAAGGAAAACTGAAAATATTTAGCATACTAAAGGGACAGTGGAAACAAGGCAATATAGAATCAGATGTTTGTTTTCTCATGAATTCCCCTCAGAAACTCTCTGGGTGGGTTACTTTAGGAGTTCTGCTGGGTCTGTTGTGCTAGTTTCTAGCAATGTGTGATTGTAGTTCCCTTCCAGGTATTTTGGTCCTACAAATTAGGTTTCTAGATGGGGTATATCATCCAGCAGTGTTTTGTCAGTATGTCATACACTTAAGTAATAAAATCAGTCCTTCCATATTACATCTAGTCCCCCTGAAACAGAACTAGCTGTTGCACTTTAGTGTGTAAAGTATACCTAAGTGTTTTGGTTGGAGCAGTGATGAGGCACGAGTAAATGAAAGCTGAGACACTTCCTGACTTGGTCGCTATTCTAATTATGAGAATAGCCTGGTGCAGGTGGTGTAAACAGTTTTTCATTGGATGGTTCTGGCCGCTTTTCCAACGTGTATCATTGGATCTGTTTGGTTTAGTTAAGTCCGACTTAGCATTCACATCAAGCTTAGGGTTATGTCATTTACGAGTTTATCTCTGTCAGTGTTCAGTGACCCCAGTCCTGCAAGATGGATCTGTGCTTTAGTGCGACCTGTCATCGCCTGAGAGGTTAGCGGTGATGAGTTATGTTTTGGAGGCGGGTGGTGGGGGTGCGTGTCGTGGGACCCATCACAATCCAAGATTGGGCTCCACCTCCTAGTTCCTGTCCCGCAGAGGACACAGTTATTTCTGGGTATCAAGGTTAGGCCAGAGTGGCATGCGGGACCCAGATGAGGTATGTCCGGGCAGAAAGTTCAGAACATGGGAGGGGATTGAGTCGACTCTTCAGCTCCCAGAATCTTTAACCGGTCCTGTGCAGTAATCTCCATGTACTGTATGCAAGTGGAAAGGAATTTTTTATTTATTTATTTTTTTTTACCAAGTTCCTCTGCTTTTGGCGGTCTGATGTCACCAGAGTGGATTGTAGGTGTTGAAAAGTGATTCTTATTTAACTTTGTCACGTTGGCTTCAGATCAGTCACAAGGGAACAGGTAAGCAATTAAAATTTAATTGATCTGAATAGGATTACACCGCAAGTAAGAGGTTCCCACACTCAGTCTTAATGTCCCGGGAATCTTTCCCGATTGTTTACAGTTACATACTCCTCGCAATTAATCTTTCAAAGGGCAACTCGAACTGAACCTTGCATTAAAATGTCTTGGACACGTGTGTGTGTGAGTGTGTGCGTGTGTGTGTGTGTGTAATATAATTTGGCAGCTAAGCATTTCAGGTTCTTTTTTTAGTTGTTCTATTGGATCAGTTCCCATCAGTGTGTGTGACTGTATGGGTCTTGTTCTTGCACTCAGGACTTTGTAATCGTTTCCCATTTTCTTTCCTATTAGAGATAATAGGTGTAGCTTGCTTAATATTATTGCAGTATTTTGTTTCGAACCAGAATTCTGCTGACGTTATCAAACACTCAGATAATGAGGAGGCATTTTTACAAAACATCAAACTGAAATGGGTTCAGAGTGGGATGTGTTCAATGGTTCCTGGTAGTAAAAGCATATGTTAAAAGGCTTTTTTTCTTTTGTGACATAAATCAGATGAATAGAACAAAAAGTCTGATTTTAATATGGAGACAGACTCTGGCTGGAATCTTGTTGTTATGTTGTTGTAACAAATGAAGACAGTCGTTACAAAGACTGAATGTTTCTCTAAAGTTGTTGGAAAAGGCGAAAAGAAAACTGGTTAGAACGCCAACAGCAACGATGGATGATCTGCAGGAATTTCCAGCTTTTGCTTTTTGTCTTGTATTCCCAGAATGTGCTAAGCTAAGGACTCTGTTAGAAAGATGTGTTATGATCTGATGTAGCCAAACCACTCCCTAAAGTTAGTGGAGCAATGCTAGAACAACACCATAGCAACAGTGAAATAAAGTGGCAGCAGGATGTAGATATAAATCTGAAATAAAATTTGTGTGGTGTCCTGTGAAGAGTCATGGGATGTTGAGGCTGCTGGAATAATGCTGGCAAAATGTGACATTTAATTTCTGGACTTCCTGGTGACTCCATTTAGGAGGGAGAAGTAGGTTAGGAACATAAATTGATAAACAAAACAGTCTTAAAAGTAGTGGCTTCTCAGATGGACACTGGAGTCATGTGTTGCAACATAATATACACACACGACTTAACCAGAGGACATGCTGACTCTGGCTGGACTCTTGTTGTTATGGCAACAACAAATAGCAGCATCAAGTCTGAGAAACCTGATTTGAATTTACTTTTGTCTCAAAACTCGGTTAATAAATAAGACATGATTAGCTCCGGCACTAATAGCTGAGGTTTTAAGAGAAAGGCATTTCTTCTCCCTTTCTCACAACCTACTTTCTGTCAACTCAACGGCAAATAAAGGTCATTAGAGACAGATGTCAAAAAATAGGAGGACAGAAAACTCTGGAGGACAGAAAACTCCAGAGTTTGCCCTTCAGACCCAAGGATGAAGGGCAAAATGAATAAATGATTGTAAAAGCATTCATTCAGCTGACACGTTGCGCACCATTCCTGGGCCCCCTTCTGTTGCAGATCCATAGGACAGTGGTATGGCATAAATAGGTCACACGAATCAGTCGATTCATTGAGGGGCAGAAAGATGGATGATTGAAACAAGTACAAGAGACATTGGTGTGTCCCCTTTCTCATCGCATTAACATGACAAATTGGTTTAACCTCCATTTAGTTTTTTTTTTTACTAAATACTTTATTTTTATAATTTTAATAGTTTTTCAAGTACACATTCATACATTGAACAGTTTCTTCTAACAAAAATTTCAGAGCAACTAGTTTGACAAGGAGCAGTTGAGTGATTTTCAACGGAGACAAAGAAGGAAACAAAAAAGGCAATTACATGAATTATGCAGTTGGCATCAGGCTCTGATGAATGTTCCATTTCTTCCAATATCTGTTAAATTTATAAGCAGCAAGCCTTGATGAGAAGGTCAGTCTCTCCATTGCATGAATTTCTTCAATTAAGTCCTTCCAGTCCAAACATGATGGTGGTTCCACATTAAGCTTCCTGCGAGTTCTAGCTTTCTTTGCAGCTGCTAGTAATATTAACAGGAGACAACTATCAGACTTCTTCAATTGCTGTGGTAAATTACACTGGAAAATCACAGTGCAAATTTAAGTCCATTTTAGTATTGATTTCCTTTATCGCTTATTACCAATAGGGTGCGATCTTAATACATTCCCAGAAAACATAAAAATGTCCTGCAGATACATTCGCACAGTTCCTCCAGCATTTTGCCTTTTCAGGGTTGTTACAATGCTTGCTTTTAATGTTAGGTGTAACAAAAATAACGCACCATGCATTTCCAGGAAAATTTCTTCCACAGGCCGGAACTTGACGTGTGAATCATGGAATTGCATATATTTAACCAAACATCATAAGTTATTATTTTGGCTTCTTTTTCCCATTTAACCTTAAGATATGTTGTATTACATTTTCTCTCCGTTTGTAGACATAAATATAGTTTGAATATTGTTTTTTTGGGAGATCTTCTGTGTCTTGAATCTAATAGGATTTTAAGTATACCTGTCTCGTCCTCCTCCAGAAGTTTTGTACTTTTATTCTAATGAAGTCTTAGCTGAAGATATCTAAAAAGTCAAATTTTTCCATGTTATAATTTCTTGAAGTTGTTTGAAACTTTTTAATTCACTATTGCTTGTAATTTTCCAGTAACTTGTTATGCCTTTTTGTGACCGCTGTGTAAATCTCTTATCCGTTCTTGCAGGGAGAAAATCTCTATCATAAGCAGGCCATCTTAAAATTTGAGCACTTCTTTCAACCTTTACTTGCTTTAATATTTTATGCCATATGCCCAACGGTACTTTTCGCCTTCAGGGAATTAGGTCAGAATCGATATGTTTTTTAATAAGGAAATGATCTCCGAGCCATGATTGTAGAGGTATGTCACTGTAGGTCAAGTCTCCCTCTTTCCATTTACCTTCACATGTTGGGTCACACCAACCAACTAACACTCTCACATGCTCTGCTCTGTAATAGTCCTCTAGATGTGGTAAAGCCCATCCACCCCTTTCTCTTGACAGTTACCCCCATTTAGGGTTAACCCCCGGCCGCCTAGTGAAAGTCCACCCTGCGGTGGAAACACCGTCGTAAATACGTCAAATCACAACATAGCGCTCCCAACATCACCATAAGTTCTTGAAGGTAATTTGGCTGTTAAGACAATTGGATTTCATTCTAGTCAGAATTTAGATTAAAGAATAAATATTTTCTAGACAGCGGTAGTCTTCTGACCTTATTTTTGAAGAAACTGGATTTTTTTGTTCTGCTGGTCTTACACCATTGGTATTCATTTTCCAAATAAACACGGTGGTTTCTAAGCTATTTGCTTAGCTGAACTGTGTTGACCAAGTTTCTTAACGGGTTTTTCTTTCTTTTTTGTCTTTTTTTTTTTTGTCAGATTATATGGTGAACAAATGTTGACACATGGAGCAAGGAGTTTCTAGGCTGAAATACCCTTCCATCTACCTCAACAGCTCTCGCTTTACACTCGACCTACCTCGGCCTGTGCTGTGCTGAGTCCACCATCATCAGCGACCTCAGAAGAGGCTGGCGAATCCCTTTTTGTTTCGTCAGCAGATCTCTCCGGTATCAGTCAACCAGCCGCTGTCAACGCTAGCATCGCTAACGTGAGGGAGGGTTCTCCTGAAGGAGTCATGTTTCGCCCAGGTTTGTGATGTCCGAGCCCTGCAACGGACCCGGACCAGTTGAAGAACGGGGGCGGATTCGTCGAGACGTACCCCGATTTGTGATTGGCTGTGAAGAGGATGAGCAAGACATGGGCCAAATGGAGGCTGGCATGAAGAACGAGATGCTTCGTCAGGACGACATGGAGGTGTATGAAAATGAATCTGTAAGTGAAAGAAATGAATGACATCATGTGTCATCATCAAAACCAACAAAAGGGGTTTTGAAAAAGAGCCAGTCATATCCTGGCAAAAGGAATCAATCAAGTTCATTCTTTCGCACATTTTAGCAGCAAGGTGCTTTAAAAACACAAAATTACTAAGTTAGAAAGAAAACCCTATACAGTCAACAACTAAACAAACATTGTATTTTGATGAGTGCCATCACCAAAATTATACATATCAAATAAAGTAAAGAAGTCTTTAAAAATCAATAGAAGAAGAGTAACATTCAGACAGGGGAATAGACAAAAAACCAGAAGGGCTTTTTGTGGTAATTTCACACGGTTACTCTTAAACGCCAAGTTTTCTTTCAGCATAATGACTTTATGACCCAGAGTAGCTGAATCCCGTCAACAACAAACGGCACTGATAAAAAGGTTGGATCAGTTACAGTTAGAATGGTGACATTTTCAGGCCTACTGGAGGAACAACGGCTGACAACCTAATCTCCATCTTCCATGAGCTGTGAGACAGAGGAGTTTGTTCATCTTAGGAAAAGTTGCAAAATAGATAATAATTTCCTCGATGGTTTGGGTTCAGAAAAAGGTCACATCTTGTGACCCACTCCACTTAGGGGTTTGCCGTAGCTGCTCCACACACGACCAGACTTTTCACCATATTTAACCGGCTGTTGTGTAGAATATGAAGCAGTGACAGCTGCCATCTTGTCGAGTATCTCTTGTACCATCTGGCTCCTCTCCGTTCCTCCATTGCTGTTGCCATTCGCCGCAGTTGCAGCAGAAACATTCAGATTGGACACATTTATTAGCAACACTGTCATATAAAGGAGAAATTGTCTTAAGTCTGTTCATGCAGTGAAGAAAAGTTATAAATAAAATGAACACGCCACAAGTCTGTATTTGTGACAGCCTTTTGAAAAAAGAAACATTTTGTCTGCAAAGGGAGGCTACGTAGAGATGCAACGTTTAGATTCAGTTCTCTTTGTTGTCAGCTTTAAAAAAAAACAAGTTAAAGGTCTCATGTGTAACATCTGGTGGCCATGTTGTATATAGCAGCTGTTTAAAATGAACTATCATGAAAAAAGAAATCTGAAATATCAAATTTGTCTAAAACTGTTTGACCAAATGGCCTTTTCTGTTTCCTTTCATTGTGAGGTCAATTAATAATCTGTAAACTCTGAGATTAAATAAAAGTAACATAATCCACAAAAAAAAAAGTTTCTCACTTTTCTTTAATTTCTGCATGCAACTTCTAAAAGATAGTTGCATGCATGGTTTTGAGGGCCATTGTCCCATTTATAAAAAGCTGTGTTTGTTCTAGGTTAATGAACATAAAATAGATTTTACAATTTCACAAACAGTTTAAAAGTATTTTATTTAAATACATATTTATTACTGTTATACATAGTATCTTAAACAAAGTTGTTATCCAGTTGAAAAAAGTTTGACAGCCATGTATAAGTAATACTTCCTGTTTGCATCGCCTACCGTTGTCCCTTCCACCAGCCGTCAGAGCGACAGATCGTTGTGGGCATATGTGCCATGATGAAGAAGTCCAAATCGAAGCCCATGACTCAGATCCTGGAGAGACTCTGTAAATTTGACTACATCGATGTCGTCATCTTCCCTGAGGAGGTGATCCTGGAGGAACCTGTGGAGAAATGGCCGCTCTGCGACTGCCTCATTTCCTTCCACTCCAAAGGTAAACTCTGCATTTCCATTATAGTCAGCTGAGTGAAAACGTTGGTGTTAAAATAATTATATCCAGTTTTTGTGCTTCCTCTGACTTTATTTCAAACATCTCCCTGACACTAATCCAGCTTCCAGTTTCATCCTATTTTTATTTCCATACTTTTTATGGCGATCTCTGCATTTTGATGAATGAATTTTTCTTAAGAGTTTCAAGTCTGCATAATTCCCAGGCGACAGGAAAAATTTATAACTCATGTTGCAGTGAGTTTGTCACATGCAATGTTTTTCCACTCTATTTTTAAAAACATTAGCTGACAGAGATAAGGGAACACGATCGTCTGTAGATGCAGTTTTTCCAGGAAAGAGCGAAGACGATGTTTATCCAAAACTTCTTGAGGACTCAGACGATCAGAACCTCAGTGTCATAGTATCTATGAATCACTAATTACTGGTTCTGAAAATAGGCTGACTTTTGCAAAAAGGAAAAGAAAAAAAAAAGCAGTTTAAGTGTGAAGCTACTCTCTAGAAAAAAGAAATGCTTTTTTTTTAATCTTCAGCAAATCCTTGTTCAAGCTGATCTAAAATGTGACGTATTCTTTTGGTTTTCAGGTTTTCCTCTTGACAAAGCTGTGGAATATGCTAAGCTCAGGAATCCAATGCTAATCAATGACCTCAACATGCAGTATTTTATTCAAGACAGGTGAGACTCAAAAACAAGAAAAAATAAACTTTCAATACACCTGTGATGGACTTTGATTATAGCAACGACAGGAATATAGCTTTTTTTTTTCAAAAACAAAATGGAAAAACGAGACTAACTTTATAAATTACATCACAAAAATTTGTCAAATCAGTCAGGTTAAAATTCAAATTATTTGCAAAACTTGTCTTAACCCTTGACTTAATGCCTCTTTTTGAATGTTTTAATGTTTAAAGTTTTGAAGTCAGTAAAGCTTAACAAGAAGTTATTTTCTCAAACTTTTAAATTTGGAGATTACATTTTTTTTCTAATTTGCATTTTTTTTAAATAAAAGGGAGTTTTTTAAATTTTATTTTCTTGTCTAGTTCTGGCTTGTAGTTTGGAAATCTTTTCCCAGTCTTAGTAATGAGCTGTTCTTGAGAAAATGGCATAATTGCTGTTTTTAGAGGCTTTCCCTTTATTATCTTTAACTTCCTGCTTTTGGTAACACAAAGGATCACTATGAGTCTTGCACAAATTCACTGTATTGTGGTTGTCTGTGATATTATTACTGATATTAGGAGGGAAGTGTATCGGATCCTTCAGGAAGAGGGCATCGACCTGCCTCGCTACGGCGTGTTAAACAGAGACCCTGACAATCCTGAAGGTGAGAACATTGTTGTCTTTTAAAAATAATAATAATCCCTTTTAGTGAAATGACGCAGATTGTTCATGCAGATTAACAGGAACTATTCTGAATGCATGTTTTCATTTAGAAATAAATGAGTTTGTGCCTGAATATCTACAGCAAGATCTTCTTTAAAGAGGCAGTATTATGTAAAATCAGCATTTTTAAGTTTAACTTCACATTATAATGTTATTCCACCAACAAAGCCAAACCTGGAGTTTTGCCTCGACTCTTTCATCCTTGTTTGAGAAATCTTTTAATCTCCATGGCAACCATTCAGGTGTGAAAAACGCCTGGGTGGACCGATCTCCTCCTCTGAGCTGAAGTTTCCACTTCACAGAACAGCTCTCTCCTTCAACTCCCACACTCAGCTCCTTCAGACTAGCCAGCAGCAATTAGTAAGCACCTGGTGGAACTTGACCTCATCAACGAGTGTTGGGTTTATTTTGTTCCCCAACCTGCAAGAATCAACCAAAGACACAAATTACTTTTCCGCAGAAAAGGGGAGAAGAGCTTGACGCGGAGCGGACCGCTGCCAAATGCTTTCTGAGATCAACTCCGTCGGCTCTCAGTCCCCAACTGCCTTTTATTATTATGTGAATATACAAAGAGGTTGGCTTTCTCACTCAGACATGCAAACAACTGACGAATACACTATCCTACAGGATGTTCTGGAAGTCTTCCGTAGATGTCCCATTGTTAGGACACAATGATGACCACTCTCAGGATACAGATAAAGATCAATCTGGCTCGTTAACACAGAAATGTGTGAGACATCTCCAACCCTCAAGAGAAAACCCTAAAAGACAGTTAACCTAGAAGACAGTTATACAATAAAGGAAAGGGAAAGAAAACAACACACGGAATAATATGAAAACAATTTACTTTTATTTAATTAATAAAAGTAAATCAACTAAGATAATAATTTTGCTAACAATTCTCAGTGAAACGCTGGTAAAAATGTTGTTAAAGGTTTAATAGAGGAGCCATGTTGTGATGACTTTCTGTAGGCGGAGTTTCAGAAAGAACAGAAGTTTCTTAAAGAGACAGGCCCAATTTTAGGGGCGCTAAATTACAAAGTCAAATTTCTTTAATGTCATTGCCAGCATTTTTATAACAACTGAAGGTGATATAGTTGATTGATTGTGCTATAAAATGGTACTATACACAATGCTGCCCCCTTTAATTAAAGTTGATATTTTTAGATTTGCTTGGTTACCAAGGGTTCATCATGTAATAAGCAGGTTGAAACTAAATATAGAAAATCAGTTGTGTTTCTAACAAATCCACATTTTATCATGTTATTTGCTGGTTTGACTGTTTCTTCATGCGTTCACTGGTAAAGACTTCCTGTTGAACCACCTTTAATCACAACAGCTCACTTTGTGCAGAGTGTAACCTGGTGGAGGGGGAGGACCACGTGGAGGTGAACGGGGAGGTGTTCCCTAAGCCCTTTGTGGAGAAGCCTGTGTGTGCAGAGGACCACAACGTCTACATCTACTACCCAACGTCTGCTGGGGGAGGCAGCCAGAGGCTCTTCAGAAAGGTAGCTGCTGTCAGCCTTATCCATTAATCTGATTTCTCTGTTTTAAGATTAAAATTTTGGAAAACGTGGGGTCGTGGGGTTTTCAGAGCGATATTACAGCTGCTATTCATTTCAACTTTGATTTCAGGTCACCTGACAGAAGAGATTGTAGAAATAAAAGCCAGTTTAAAAAATATTTGTCATTTGTAAAAGTTTTTCTTTGGGACAAAAAATTAGGAGGAAAAATAATTCAATTAAAGTTGGAAATCAAATTTGGTATAAAAAAATGTAGATTTTATTTTTAAGTCAGCAGTAATGCGTATTAATATGCATCCCACCAGACTTCTCTATAGAAGTTGGAATCGATGCTCCACAAAAGGCCATTGATGTTAGTTGTGCTTTCTTTTAATTAGCTTCCTTGGTTAGCTAATTAACCAAGGAGGTCCAATTTTAAGGCGCTAAATTACAAAGTCAAATTTTGTAGAGGCTGTGTTTATCGCTATATTTTTATTTTAGATTGGAAGTCGCAGCAGTGTCTACTCCCCAGAAAGTAACGTGCGAAAAACTGGATCGTACATCTACGAGGAGTTCATGCCGACTGATGGCACCGATGTGAAGGTACTGTGTGGATGCTAGCCTGACTTTTGATTTTGATGTGAAGGGCAGAGTGGGTTTGTATGGAGCTAAATTAGGTCCATAAATCTTATTAAAGAAAATATTTTGAATCTGAAAATAAATTATTCTAAAATGAAAAAACGTTTTCAACTGAAAAAATTATAAAAAAATTTTTTAAAATGAAAATAAAAAATATGTTTCTAACTAGAAAAATTAAAAACCAATCTAACTTTTTTTCCAAATTCAAAATTAATTTCAAAATTTCAGATTTTTTATTTTATTTTTTCAGTTTCAAACTTCAGGCCAGGCTGGGTTTGGGGGCGGGACTTCAGACAACATGACTTAAAGCTCCACACAGCAGCTGGACAAAACATTCCCCTGTTGCATTCAGGAAATGTAGAAACTTAGAAATATTTTTATGACATCACCAGTATCCTATGCTATAATAATACATAATGCTTCACAACACAAGTGAGGCAGCTCAAAGAAATTTTTGGTGCCCATTTAGCGTCATATTCAATAAGCTTGTAAGTACATATGTTTTAAAATTGTGTGTGTGTGGGGCGGTTTGATATTTTAAGTCATTTTCTGCCTGCGTGCTTCACCCGATGGTGTCAGGTTTACACGGTGGGCCCAGATTACGCCCACGCTGAGGCCAGGAAGTCTCCGGCCCTCGACGGTAAGGTGGAGCGAGACAGCGAGGGCAAGGAGATCCGCTACCCCGTCATGCTGACCGCCATGGAGAAACTGGTAGCTCGCAAGGTCTGCCTCGCCTTCAAGGTACCTGGAAATTATTCAGCACATATTCATTTATTTATTTAAATTTAACTCAGAACTTCCTGTAAACTTATTTCTGAGCAGCAACGAATCTGAATTTGTAGGTGAAACCCAGTAATGTTCCAGGAAGCTATTGAACTGATTCGGTCAATTTGCTTTGTTTACATTGTATACCGATAAGAATATGCTTTAATTTTTACAAAGAGATTTCAAACACATCTTACATTTACACAAAAACCCTACCAGATGTTCTGTATAAAGTTGTTGTTGTTTTACTGTGCCTTTTTGTTCAACATGCCAGTCAGTTATAATATAGACATGTGTTTGAAATAAAAAGTTCATGTATAGATGTGTTTTTTTGGGGGGCGGTTTTCAAAGCAAACAGTGTGTGGATTCGATCTGCTGCGAGCCAACGGCCATTCCTACGTCTGTGACGTGAACGGCTTCAGCTTTGTGAAAAACTCCATGAAGTACTACGACGACTGTGCCAAAGTCCTGGGGTAGGCGGCGCTGCACTCAATAATGACTCAAATAAAATAATCCTTTATTAGCCGCACAAATGGGATATTTAAGTTATTATGACAGAAAGCGAACAGAACAAAAAAAAAAAAAAAAAAAATATAATATATATATATATATATATATATATATATATATATGCTCTTGTTTTTTTATTGCTTATTGTTATTACAGTTGCATTAAATCCGTCACTGTAAGAAATTAAGTGATTAACTTCAACCTTTGGAGCATCATACAGAACTTCAACAGTCTGATAGGAACTACCTTAAATGTTCTCAGGGAATCTAATCTATTTGCTCCATTTTTCAAAAAAAAATCTATTTTATAATTTCATAATTGTTGTCATTTTGAAGCTCTGGTCAGCTGTTGTGTTTTGAATGAGCTACATGAATAAATCAGACGCTCACCTCTTCACCAGGAACATGGTGATGAGAGAGTTAGCCCCCCAGCTGCACATCCCCTGGTCCATCCCCATGGAGGCTGAAGACATCCCCATCGTCCCGACAACCTCAGGAACCATGTATGTGTGATGTAACACGGGGAAGACGTTCCAGCTGCCTTTGACAGACATTTATATAATTAAATCTTTACAACACGTAGTAAATTTATCTAGTAAACTGTCAACATTAAATTTCATAGACATTTTATTTTATTTTATTTATTGCTGGTCAATACAAATGGCTGCCACAATGTCCAGCTTTTACTTTGTTTTAGAGCATTTTGTTTGTTGCTGCGTTGCATACAGTCTTACTAAATTAGTTGCAAAATGACAATATGGAAAACTTCAAGAGGTGTGAGAACTTTAGAAAGGCATGTTTGCTTGTTCGTTTGTATATGTGTGTGTGTGTGTGTATATATATATATATATATATATATATATATATATATATATATATATATATAGATAAATAAATTAAACAGAAGGATTTTTACATTAATTCTTGTCCTCCTCCATCTTAATATTTCTTTTAAAAAGGATGGAGCTGCGCTGTGTCATCGCCATCATTCGTCATGGAGATCGGACCCCAAAGCAGAAGATGAAAATGGAAGTCCGTCATCCTCTGTAAGTCACTTGATTTCCATCTGAAAGTCTCTGCGTTTTCTCCTATCTAATAGTTGGCCTCTGTAATTAGTTTGTTGATAAATGTCTCTGAGACTTTGTTCTGTTATTACGGTAATCACACTAATTACTGCATGAGTTTACACCGAGATATGAACTCAAGGACGAAGCTGACATCAAGTTGCTTATCAACTTTATTCTTGAATACCGTCCGTTTTCTCAAGTTTCTATGGAATCTTTCAATTCCTGCCTCGAACTTGCATTTTTTAAAAGTGTTTTATTAAATTGAAATCCGTCCAGAATGCAGATTCATGCAGGCGCATGTTCCTGTGTTCATAAATACAATATATGTATTTGTGTTTTGCATAAACAGTTTCTTTGAGTTGTTTAAGAAGTATGGAGGATACAAGACAGGCAAGCTGAAGTTAAAAAAGCCAAAACAGCTGCAGGTGAGTAATTCTCTTTTTGTTTTTTATTAATAAGTTGCATATCAATAATTTTTAAGTGTAAATGTTTTTTGACAGCGTACGTTACCTTCCTCTCATATGCTGCTACTTTTCCTGTCAAATCTTTGCATACACTCATCACAAAATTATTGAAATCCTTTTATTGTTTATTTTAGTACTTTTCCAGGATGGATGAATTAAACTTAAACATAATTTATTTTGTAAATATTTCCCCCCCACAGGTTAGGGGTCAGAATTACAAATATGTGGTGAAAATTCTCACTGCAATTGGCCGTCCAAAAGTTTCTCTAATAATTTTGACTTGGTTTGAGTCTTTTTCATGGCAAAAATAATAAGGTCATTTAAACTGTCTCTATTAATGACCCAGTTTTTAGCACAGACTATTGAAACATTAAGAAACTTCGACTAGGACATCTGAATTTTATCCGGGGTTAATCAGTTTCAGACATTGATAGCTTATGATTGTTAGAATAATATTTTGTCAGTCTGAATATTTTTTTTTAATATTATGTTTGTTTAAAATCCCATTGAGAGTTTCTGCATGTATTTCGCATCTGTAAAACTCCAACGTAAATGCAAAGATTTGCATGTCGCATGTTGTGTCGTTACTCCACTCTGCAGAAAGAACGATTGAAATAAATGAACGAAAACCCAAAATGGTATTTTAGTTGAGTAAGAGTTTGCTTCTGTGTGTTTTCAAGAAACATATTCAGCAAAAAATTATGAATTTATGTTCGGTGATAGTTACTGCTTGCCAGATTGTAGACTGAAGAGTTGAAGATTTTACTAAAGTATCCAAGTTTTCAGATTTACATATTCTTCCTGTCTTTGAACAGAAAAAATGTTTCTTCATTTACAATAGATAAAAAAAAATGTAATGAGGGTGGCCAGACCAGGCTAGTAAAAGAGGTTGGTGGGACCATTTAAAAAATAAAAACATCTTACATATATTATGTATTTATTTATTGGGTTTTAATTCCCTTTTAATTGAATATGATTTGCATTTTTCAAAGAGGGGCCATGGCCCCCCTGCACACTTTCTTATTGGCGCCATTTATGTTGCTGAGTCGTCTCATGAGCTCTGGCGATCTAATCGTAGTCGGGTCCAGCGCAGCGGGAATGTTTTGCTAACGGGCAGGGAAATCGGATGATCCGTTGTGAGTCACGGATAAAGGCCGCTGTGATTCCAGGAAGTGCTGGACATCGCCCGCCTGCTGCTGGTCGAACTCGGTCAGCACAACGACTGTGAGATTGAGGAGAAGAAATCCAAACTGGAGCAGCTCAAGACGGTGCTGGAAATGTGAGTGCGACATTTTCACTTGTGACAGGAGCTCGCAGCTAAACACACACAGACACACCGACCGTCCGTCATCGCTCAATATATTTGTTTTTCTGGGGACAGCTTTCATTAGCGGGCTCCTCAACCTCCAAAGATCGCCTTTCGACATCTCATCAGGGCCCATTCATCTGTTTCATGCTCGCTATCAAACACTTGTTTACCAAAAACATCAAGATCCTCTCATCTTGACTTTAACTGTCTGTTTTTTTTTTTCCTTTTTCTTGTTCTTCTCCTCCCCCTTCCTTTATCTCTCCGGTCTTCCCATCCGTCCTTCTCTTTCTCCACAAGGGAATCCAGCTTGAATGTGAATCAGTACGCACACTCTCCCTCCTTCACTTTAAAGGATGCGGTTTTAGTCAACATAGTGTACAAACTATTGGGAGCATTTCAAAAGTTTCTTCACCAGAACAAAAGCTGGAATTTTTCAGATTCCACTCATAAAAATAATTTTTTAAAGTTTATACAGTTGTGAATAGATGAAATATATCAAGCATTCCTAATGTTTTGTACACTGTTTCTAGACTTTAATAATTGACTCATACACAGTCAAATGATGATTTCACTGTGCTCCTGCGTGTGTTTTACCCCTTAATGTGCATGCTGACCTCCCTACACATCAGCTGGACTCTAAGTCTCCTAATGTCTTCTTATTTCTGCCTTCATTCTGGTGTTCTGGTGTTGGCGCTCCATTGCTGGTCTTCTTGTGGGCTCAACATGTGCTATTAAATTTGGAGTTGAATGCTCAGCTGTAGGCCTGTAGCATAAAGTGAATATGTTCATAATAACTTCTAAGATGTATAAAAACCAGGAGTGAAACCATTCATCAGATTAATTGTGATTAAATGTGATTAATTGATTAAAAATAATCAACTACTGAAAGAACAACACACTCAGAGCGGTAATGAAGCCAAAACTGTACAAAAAATGCACACATTTTGCATTTAAGACAAACAATCACCTAATCTGCCCTATGCTGTGTTGAGCAGAAAGGGTTGAGCCTGTCACATGTTAGTTTTTTTTTCTTCATATGCATAAACAGTATTTCTTTAATGAATGCTGTTGATCCATTTTATGAAATAAAATGTTTTTCTTATTTAAAAATGGAGTGGCGTTATTTGTATCTTTTCATGTAAAAATGAAAAAAAAAAAAAACAAGCATCTAATGATAACGCCCTGCATCTAAAATCTTTGATATGAATACTCCGTCCCAGCATTTAGTCTTCACCATAATTACTTGATCAAGCCTTTTCTGACAGTCCAGAATAAGTAATAAAAGTGTTTTATTTGTGCTGATATCATATCGGGTAAGTATTGGAATTAGCCAATACTTACAGATGCGATATCTGTATCGTTTCGGAAATGGAAAAAGTTGCCATAAAGGACACCCCATTTAAAAACATCCGCATTTTGCCACCAAGACATATCTGTTCTTTTTCTCTTTTTTGTGCTCCTCAAGCACAAATCAAATTAGATTTCTTTTAAACAGAGGCCCCTCACTTTTAAACAGAGGCCCCTCACTTACGTTGTAGTGCACATCTAAGTCGGCTTATCCATGTCACCCTTGTAATCTACCCCCTTTTTTTTTCTCCGCCTCAGCTTTGAGAATGAAATTGCTTTCTTCCGACCTGCCTGACCTGTCGGCAAATACCAAGCCGCCACTAGTCAGCAGAATGTTCCAGATCCTTAATAAGAGCTCAGCTTGATGTTTCTCACTAAGGCCATGTCTGGAGTTCAGCTGGAACTACTTGGCTACAAATGTTTAACTCTGAAGGACCCAATGAGTAACCGAGTTCTCATCAAACCAGCTGTTAATACTGGCATTAGCCTCGTGTATTACTCGTGTCAGACCTGAAGGCTTTTTATTGTTTTCAGCTCGTGTTGTAAGAAACCTGGAATGGAGCCCAGATGTGTGTTGTAGTGATGCACATTTAAACAAAGCTCGTAAAACCAAAATGCATTCGGACCTTTCTCCAACTTTTTTTTTTTTCATTATTATTGTCTGTTTTTAACGTTTATTTCAGGTACGGCCATTTCTCTGGAATCAACAGGAAGGTCCAGCTGACCTACCTTCGAAACGGCCAGCCTAAAGCCTCCAGCGAAGAAGAAGGTAGAAATAAACACTTTCAGTTTGTTGCTGGGTTTTCGAAAGTATTCCAACCCCTTTAAAGTTTTCACTTGTTCTACAGAATTGCAGACATTTCTTAAAATGAAAAAAGTCTGTGTTATTTCTCATGAATGTACACTCAGCATCCCATCTTGTTTTTATTGTTTTGCGCATTTTTGTTGTCTATTATTACACTCAAACCCAGGCTGCTACGTAAACATTTGTTTGATGTCGTCACACAAGGTATCAGATTAATTTAGTTTTTGTCTTCGCCAATTTGTGTTTTCTTGTTTTTGTTTTTTTCCCTTCCGTAATTGAAACTTCTTTCTTCAAATGTGTTTATTTCTTTACTGTGCGGCTGCAGCTAATTCTTTGAGCAATATGTGCTCAAGAAATAAACAACGGATTTCATGAAAACATTAGAAGGCATAAAGCATGTGCGCTTGTGAAGAGGACCAAACCAGACAGAAAGCAGGTCCTATTATTCCGAAGCTCATTGAGCAACGATCTTCAGTCAAAGGCCTTTTCAGATTCGTTGTGAGACTCGACTGCTGCCGTAGATCTCGCTTTAAGTTTGACGTGATTGACGTCATGATGGACGTCAGCATCCATCCTGGCTGGAGAGCCAGTGGAGTCAAACTGGAAGCTGGGATTAAAAACCACCACCAGTAGACAGTGTTTTGTCGTTATTACTATGCAGATGAAGTTGTAACCTGATCAAAATGAGAGCTATTGTGTAGTCATAATAATTTCTCAGCAGTCTCATATGGGAGACACCTTGATACTGCAGAGCCAGATGTAACAATATCATTTGTCATTCTGTATGTATCCATCCTGGCTTGAAATGTGACGTACTCAGGAACGTTGAGTTTGACACAACTTTAACTATGATATAACAGAAATGCTTTGTTAAACAAAGTATTTCAAACAATCGGTATTGAAGGTGAAGGATTTTTGTTTTGCTTTTTTGTGTTTTTTTGCTGCTGCTCCTTCCAGACTGTAAGAAGGACGGCCCGTCTCTGCTGCTGGTGCTGAAGTGGGGCGGGGAGCTGACGCCCGCTGGCCGGGTTCAGGCCGAGGAGCTGGGCAGGGCCTTCCGCTGCATGTACCCTGGAGGTCAAGGTAGCAAACACACACACTCACACACACACACTTCACACACTATGTGTACTCAGAAAGGCTCAAATGTTGCCGTCAAATGCTTCTTCAGCTTGTGTCCACTGATCACGTTTCTCAAAATAACATAAGTAGGAATTAAGCTATTAAGTTATTTTATGTATGTATGACGTCAGATCACTTGCAGGTTGTTTTTGTGTGATACTATGTGCACAATGTAATGTTCCTTAGGGACACCAAAACAAAGCAGATTAGCTCGTGTTACTGCACGATCTGTTACTTACTGTTGGGTTTGGGCGTTTATCGCATCGTATTGCTTATCATTTACTGTGACAAATTTCTCATCATGTTAAGAACTTTTGATTTATTGTTGTCACAATAAATTCCAATTAATGTCTTAACTTCCCCAAACAGTCCACACTGTCAGGATTGTTAGTTTTACTATTTTGCCCACCGTTTTTTGGGGGGTTTTTTTTCCCAATGCAACAAATCAACAAATGTCAATTTAAAAATATGGTGCAGTTTAGTGATACAAATCACATTGACTTTTGCGGCTGTTGATCCGAATTGCTCCGTCGTGCTGTCACAGTCTTGCAGGTACCTTAAAATAAGGAGGAGTATTAAGTTTTTATTGTCACTTTTATTGTTATCATAAAATGATGATAAAATTTAGGTCCATGTCATCCGGCATTTTGTTGACTCACCGGAAGAAATACTTCTGGATCTTTCTTGATACGTCCATCAACATTTATATGAATTAAAGAAAAAAATATTATGTAGAAACTTGACTGTAAAGTATTTACGCCGCCAATGCGCCCTCTGGTGGACTAATGAGAAACAAAGCAAATGCCTTCGTTTTTATAGCAATCACATATTTCATGAGATTAACCAAAACTGTTATCAAACTGTACTAGACTAATTTCCTTGTGTCTATTGGAAACTCAAATGTATTACACCATCCTTCCTCATGCTTGATTTGGTTGAATTTTAAATATCTTTTCAGAAAATTGTGATTAAACAGTTTCTCTTTTTGTTGTTCTCTTGCAGTCATTTACTAGTCATATGATTACAATGAAAAAGTAAAAACAGAAATAAGCAGAAAATACTCTTGCTGACGTATTTATTTTTGTTCATAAATACGTGCGATTCGTGCTTCCAGGACAGGTCATGGAGTCGCATATTTAATTTCCTTATAACCATAGAAATCAATATTAACGTTCCCGCCCTCCCTGTTTTTGTGGAAATACATGTTTTCTCACTGATGCAAACATACTTGTGACAAACTGGTTTTTCAAACTGGTTGTAGCAGCACCTGTGTGTCGCGGTAAGGAAAACAAATGTTGGGTTTTGAACCCAACATTTCCTTTGCAGGGGGGATTTTCTCTTGATCCGTCTTAGGAGTCTTTAACTGACCATCTCTTCCTAATGCTTTATTATCAGTGCATGTAGAACTACCAGTTCTGCTCAAACAACCTGGAACAAAACTAAAAGTAGATGCACAGACTGCCTGTGTTGCTTCCTGTTTCTTTTTCTTACTCTGTAAAGGTCACACACTTCATCCCAGCCACTGTTGTCATTCCTCTTTCATTCACCACAACTTTTTGTCAATTAACTCTCCTTTTCTCTTCTTACGTGTTGTTGCTATGTGTACACTACTAGCCCGTAATCGCCGGTCCCCTGGCTGCGAGTCCCCTGTTGACTTTGGTAAGACGAGGGGTTTCCTGGCTGTCACCGCTCAGTCACTCACTCCCATTAAAGCTGCAGTGTGTAACTTTTATTAAAAAAAAAAAAAAAAAAGGTTTTTTAAAGCTGTCCCCATGTTGTAGCAGTATGATGTAAGTCGGATAATCTGTAAAAAGATTAAGCTTTTTCACTTCCTACTTCAGCTACTATTGCCGTCTGGAGAAATCCACCACTACTGGTAAAACAACCAAAAAAACCCCCCAAAAAACCCCCAACCAATCAGAGTCAGGGGGAGGGTCTTAGTGCTGTCAATCATCCTGCACTGCTAATGGTAGAAAAACTCACAGTTAAACTATTTGTTGCTATGCTAACTAGCCTTAGCATTCTCCTTTCTGCTCTGCTGAAACGGAGAAGCTGCAGATGGCAGAGAGAAATGGGGCAGTTGTGAGCAGCATGTTCACAGAGGGGGATAGATAGCGCTAAGATCCTCTTCCTGGCTCTGATTGGTTGTTTCTATTTAGTCCTGGGAGAAGGCAGAGGAGCTTTTTCACACAGCTCCTCTGTTTCATGCTCTACTGTCACAACACGGAGACGATTTTAACACATGTAAAAAAAAAAAAAAAACAAAACAAAAAAGTACTGCAGCTTTAAGCACGTCGATCCATCCGTCTCTCTTACATAATTTGATTCCTTCTCACCTCATTGTGATTTTTGGTTAATCTCACTTGGCAACTTGACAATTCCTTTTTGTTTTTTCTACTGAGATTGCTGTGGATTGTTTGTATCACTGTGGACATGCTATTGAAACCACCCAACACACTTTCTTTCTTTTTATTTTTTTGTTATTTATTGAGGCCAAGTTTATATTCTGGACTGTAGCTAAGGCGAGGACAAGTCGCCAACATGCCTTAAATTCAAATGCAGCATGAAAACACAATATTTCCAGGGAATTTCTTTATGCTACTCGGCTGCACTGAACTTGAAAACGCATGAAACATTGCAGAGCCTTACAATAACACTCATTCGCCTTGACGTTTTCCATATTCTTGCTGTTACAGCATCTAACCTGACTGCATTTTATGTGGACATGAAGTGGTATGTGAAGAGAAAGGAAAATGATGCATGGTATTACATATAATCAGTAGTCTGACCAGGTTCTGTAAAATCTCACCGTTGAAACTGATGAGTTTTAATCACTTCTTTAGAGCCTCTTTGCCTTCTGAAACCTTCCATGTTATGTTAAACAGGCTATATGGAAGAGGATTAGGGCCACTGAAAAAAATAATCTTGACTTTGATTTCTGATTTGTTTGACCTTGATCTATTTGACTGATTTAATAATTTTGAGTTTGATCTCTTTGACCTCATTATCCTTGACTTTGATCTTGGAATTTTAAGTTTGATCTCTGCATTTTCACTTTCACTCATTGACTTGGATCTCGGATGTCTTTGATCTTTTTTTTTTTTTTTTTGATCTTGAGATTCTGACCTTGATATCTTTGACCTTGTCTGATTTTGACTTTGATCTCAGAGTTTTGACTGAGTTCCTTGTGACCTGCCTGTTGCGATGTCGAGATATTTGTGAGGATTGTGTTCGTAAAATGGTTACTTTTTTAATTTCACCAGATCATCTCCTGTCCCCAGACGGTGAAATGGAAATTATGTTGGCTTTCTTTCAGCAGTGGCTTTCTTCTTGCTGTTCTTCCATAAAGACCATATTTGTGATACGCTGTCTTGTCACACGCAGTGGTGCGTTTTAGGAGATGAATTTTAATATTTAATTTTATTATCTCAGTAAATGTTTCATTTTCCTTCCTCTTCAGAAATACGCTTCTTGCGTTCTTCTACCACATAAATCACCACAAATCCTTAAACATTTGTAGCTGTAAAGTGACAAAATGTGAAGAAAGTTTTGAGATAACTGCATTTTTGTCAAGGCACTCTTAATAAATTGACTTATTTTAAGCATGAAAAGTTGTTTGCTGAAAAATGTGAAACTTCTGATCCGACAAACGGCTGAGTGCGTCCGATCGAAAGGTTTACTCAGCTTTTATTCACTTTCAATTCATTTTATACGGAGCTCAAACTTCACGACTCAAGTCGGCATTTACATGAAACGAGATGAGGCGGTTTAAGATCGCTGCATTTGAACTGAAAGTGACGCTTTCCCTGCTCAGGTTCTGTATGTTTCAGATTATCGGGGGAATCTTCGGTATTTTACGGTGAAATCAACACGTCATCGTTTTCTCTTTGTCTGCCAACGTCTCCGCTGATTGAGCCTTCCCTTTAAAGAAATACAATTAAATAAATAAAAAAAAGAACAATTTCACTATAAGGTTTGCTGCTTTAAACCAGTCGGGGTAACGAGCGTGGTCTTCTTTGTGCGCAATATTCCAGGTGACTTTGCGGGGTTTCCTGGCTGCGGCTTGCTGCGTCTGCACAGCACTTACCGCCACGACCTGAAGATTTATGCCTCTGATGAAGGCAGGGTTCAGATGACTGCTGCAGCGTTCGCCAAGGTAATAGATGAAGCTTTGTGAAGCTTAGTTAGGACCTTACAGAGCTGTTGGAAGGGTTGCATAGTTATTGATGTGATGTTGGGCTTTAAATGACACACAGAGAAACGTTGTTTGCACAGTAGTTTATGATTTAAAACCAAGACATAAGAACACAACTCTTGACTGATTTTAATGTCTTCAATCTGTGTTACACAAGAGCACAACTATAAACATGCAGAAAAGCTGATCCTTTCCACAAAGTGTGGTTTATTCACTGAATGACGACTACAAGATGACGCCACACCTGAAAATAGTTTAGGGCAAGGCCAAGGTCTTGTCCTAAAGTCCTTTCATTATTTTATTATTATATACTAACCTGATTTTTGCCTCTGATGAAATGACCAAATGAGGTCAAAGGTCACTTGGCACATTGAGACAATGACATCTGCAGGGTGTATTATTGAGTCTAAAATATTTCTGAACACTCTTGCAACCATTCTTTGATATAAGAAATTATGCTTGCCATAATTTTTCTGATTTCTTTTTTTTTATGTGTATAAAATAAATAAGTCAGATTTGTGTAATTTAGACTAAGCAGTTTCCCACCGGCATCAAAGAGTATAGAACCTACATTTTCACTAACATAACCAACATAAAATGTAATTATTCATAAATTTCATGTGTTAGGGAGGTTCAAGGATTGAAATGCATGCACTTATTTTGCAGAATTTTTTTTTTGTATTAAACAGGTTAATATTTGTACACATCAACAATTTGTACACATCAACAATTCAATAGCAAAAGATCCCAAATAGGATTTTTTTTCTTAGAGAATTTGAACAAAGTGAAGTTAAAATGATGTCACTTGAAGACAAAATTTTCCTTCTGAAAATTGCCAGGAAGACACAGGAAGATGCAATTTTATATTTTGTAGATTTGTTCTAGAGAACAAATCTATTCTGAATTACTGCTCTGACTCAGCTGTGCTATTCAGCGCTTGGCCTTTTTCTTTTATTAGTCTGTACATCAGTCCACGATTAATCGATTACCAAATTAGGTGCAGATTATTTCAATAATTGATTCATCACGATTATTCGTGATGAATCTGTCTTCTAAGGACATATTTTTCCAGTAGTTTCCATCTTGCACGCCGATTTTGTTTCCATCTGTTGGTTTTTGTGTCCAGGGCCTGCTGGCTCTGGAGGGCGAGCTGACGCCCATCCTGGTTCAGATGGTGAAGAGCGCCAACATGAACGGACTCCTGGACAGCGACAGTGACTCGCTGACTGACTGCCAGCAGAAGGTGAAGGCCAGACTTCATGAGATCATGCAGAAGGACCAAGAGTTCATTCAAGACGACTTCCAGAAGGTAACTCAAAGTGTATCAACAGGTTTTTTTCAAAATGTTGTCTTGTCTCTGCTGACAGATGACTTCATCTGTGTTTCCTTTGTGATCCAGTTGGCCCCGACCGGCAGTCCATCACTGGTGAACTCAATGAAGGTCATAGAGAATCCAGTCAAAACCTGCGACAAGGTTTACGCACTCATTCAGAGCCTCACCTCGCAGATTCGAAAGAGACTGGAGGACCCCAAATCCGCAGGTAGACCGACTCTACTTACTCGACACTTTCTGTCATGGCCAAAGTCTAAATCACATGCGGACCTCAATCGCCTCGAGTCACAGAACGCATCGAGGAGATTGAGGCTGCTGCTAACTGCCTGCTAATATAGCCTTGCTAACTAGCTAGCTAGCAATATGCATCTATCATAGGTAAGTGCACCAATTCATCACCAGTTCATTTCTGCTGCCAGCCGGAAAAAAGGAAGGCTAGTTTCTTTGGTCTTAATTTGAATTCAAGCTGGAATTAAAAAGGTCTGAAATTTGACTTGTTGAAACCTGCAGAAACCCTCTCAATATCTTAACTCAACATTTCAGCATGTTCTGTGGCTAGCAGGATTTGCCAGCTCAGCAGCTACTTTACCTGTAAAAGTTTCAACCTAATTGCTGGATGCTTTAAAGGCTTTCTCCAGGATCTTAGAAAGCAGAGAAAAGAAACTCAAAAATAAATAAAAATGGACATTTTTAGTATTACAAGCTCCTAAATTAGTTCTTATTTGTCATTATAGGTTAGAACATGTATTTAGCCATACCTTAAATCTGAATATATGTTGAGCCTTCCTCCATTGTTTTTATTTACTTGTTTAATTCAGATTAAATTCATTCAGTACGTTTGTAGATTTGATTCAAGAATTTACCTTTCATTCGTTAACTTGCATGTCACAAGTTCACAGTATGTCGCATTAAAACCAGTAATGTGACATATTGGTTGTTGTTTCCCATAATAATCTTATTTACGTTAATTTATCAGTTACGTTGATTTTTCATTTAAATCAAGTACTTTTCAAATATTCTAAAAATAAAAAAAATTGCCACTGCAGCTTTTGGAAGCTGTTAGATTTTTGGTCTGGGTTTTAGTTTCACTTACTTGCTTTCCAAATAAGCTTCACACATCTCGATTTGTTGTTTAAAATACAGTTCCGTCCCTCCATCCACTACTTGTACAGGTCAAGGGCAAGGAAAAGAGTAGCTAACATCTCTGCAGACTCCACACATTCTGGACACAAACTCTTTAGATTTTCTCCCCCAGGTTCTGGGTGACAGTGAATTCTATATTTTTTTTCTGCTTCTTTAGTTTTAACAACATAAAACACCTTCCAAGATTTCTTTTCTATTGTTGGGTAACAGTAATGGTGGTCGTCTCGTGTTTCTCTCCAGATTTGCAGCTGTACCACAGTGAGACGCTGGAGCTGATGCTGCAGCGCTGGTCGAAGCTGGAGAGGGACTTCCGCATGAAGAACGGCCGCTACGACATCAGCAAGATCCCGGACATCTACGACTGCATCAAGTACGACTCGCAGCACAACGCCTCCGTCGGCCTGGAGGACACGTTGGAGCTCTTCAGACTGTCCCGCGCTCTGGCCGACATAGTCATCCCACAGGTTCGATTGCTTTCATTCTCCTCCGCCCGGCACGGTTTGATTCTTGCTCTGTCCCTTTTTGATTTGACAAAAGAATGTATATGGATCAGAATGCAGAGGAAAAACATTTTGGATTCTTGTGGCTTCAGGAGTACGGCATCAATAAAGCGGAGAAGCTGGACATCGCTCAGGCGTACTGCGTCCCTCTGATGAAGAAGATCTACCTGGACCTGCAGAGGACCCACGAGGACGAGGCCGTCAACAAGCTGCACCCTCTGTGAGGTCACGCCCAAAAACCACAACTGCTCACATGTCACATTCACCACATAGTTACCATGCTGCTAAACTTTGACTTGTTTCTTTAACCTTTCAAAGACCGATACCTATTCTATTTTATCTTTGACTGGCTTGCTTTTTTGATTTTGATATATCTTGAATCTATTTTTTCTACAGATGCAGCCAAATAGATGTGAATTAAACTTAAATATCCCATCAATTTTTTATCCCCCCTTAAGTTCATAGTAAAATAAAATCACTTAAAGTTTTTGGTTTTGGCTAGAAAACTGGTCTTTTACTGGGGAAAAAAAAAACATATTCTGAGCAGTAATTAAGCCAAAGTTGTACAAAATACCAAATTCCTCTGAAACCTGCCACACTACAATAAAATAAGGGAGAAAAACTTCAAAGTTAATGTAAGAAGTAGTAGTCGGTGGTGTACTTTCGATCACTTGGTCTGTGCGACCCAATCAGCTCTCATATCCGTTCCTGGGTGTTCAGGTATTCCCGCGGAGTGATGTCTCCTGGTCGCCACGTTCGCACACGACTCTACTTTACGAGCGAGAGCCACGTCCACTCCCTGCTCAGCATGTTTCGCTACGGAGGACTTCTAGATGTGTGTATAGTCCTCACTTATCCTTCTTAAGTCATTTTGTCTTGGTTTTGAAAATATTGTTGGAGGTTTGCCAGAGACCATCTGGGCCTAATGAGTAATTATTGTAATTAATTATTTTTGTGGTACATTACTTTATGGAGCACAAACGTCCAGAAAACCTTTGTGCAAAGATGCTAAAAAACTTAAAATCATCCCATTAGGTTATTAGTAAATGGAACATTATCAACATATTTAATGTGTGTTTGTTTGATGACATTTGACAAAATTTCATGTTTATTTCTTGTTTCGTGATTAGTTGCTTTGTTATGTTTTTATGGAAGAAAGCACTTTGAGCAGTTTGCTGAAATGTGCTTTACAAATAAATACACTAATGCATCCTCAGCTAAATGAGATTCATACAAGTGTTGTACAAATCTTTTTTTGTTTTTTTTGTTTTAAAATGTCTGTGTACAGTGCCTTGCAAAAGTATTCAGACCTCTTTAACTTTTCCGCATCTCGTCACATAAAAACTACAGAGTTTTAATGTGTGTTATGTTTAAAACATTATGATAGACCAACACAAAGTAAAGCATAATTATGGAGAAGAATACAAATGTTTCTCAGAATCGCTTCATAAGCAAAAGTCTGGAAAAATGTCAGGACAAAAAAAAAAATGTCCAAAACTCTGGAGAAGCTGCAGAGGTTCACAGTCAAATCTCTGTGAACTATTAGCTATAAACTCCTCCACTACAAAAAAAAAAAGGAAAAAAAAAGTCATGGCTTTTGTAGGCGACACCAGACATGAAACATTAAAGAAAATCTGAAATGTCAAGGCAGCCTGCTTCAGAAAAGCCTGAGTGTTGTTAAATGGATGGAGCTAGCGCTATAGCACCTAGCGTACATCATCTGCCCTGAATGCTTAACAGCGTATAAATGTCCATTTGATGACGTATTTAAATTTACAAAAATTAATATCCTAAAGTTTTTTTTTTTCCATTTGAAATAAATGTTTCTCAAGTCTAATGCTAGAATTAATCATGGATTCCTTTCAGAAAAAAACACAAGAGCAAAACCAACCAGGCTTTTTTTACTTTTCCAAAAAAAGGCCGGCGTTTTTTTTTGTCATGTTTTAAAACCATGCCTCATTTTCTACACAATAGCTTGTTCTTGCTATGTGATGAAACGTGAATCGTATAAAGGGTGTGTGAATGCTTCTGCAAGGCATTGTGCGTATGTTTGTGTGTGTTGGTAAGGAGGTGAAGGACCAGCAGTGGAAGCAGGCGATGGACTACCTGAGCGCCGTGACTGAACTCAACTACATGACGCAGATCGTCATCATGCTGTACGAAGACAACAACAAGGTCGGTCTGCAGGCCGCTTCTCGTCTTCAACAGCAGATCTCCGGGTTGCTTAACGGGAAGGCCGTCTCTTTCATGTCCGCGAGAAGGACCCGTCCTCGGAGGAACGTTTCCACGTGGAGCTCCACTTCAGCCCAGGTGTCAAAGGGTGTGAAGATGAGGAGAACGTGCCGCTGGGTTTTGGTTTCCGCCCCGCCTCATCAGAGGTCTGTAAATATGTGTTGGAAGTTATTTATTTATATATATATATATATATATATATATATATATATATATATATATATATATATATATATAATATATATATATATATATATATATATATATATATATATTTTCCCAGTGGCATTGCACCTTTCCCAAAAAAGGTGAGAGGTGAGAGATGACTGATGGTGGGTTGAACTACTTTGACTGGGCCTTTTTCTAAACATCTAATATAAAACCTTCTAAATATTTTCACATGTTGCATAGTAGCTCCAGAAATCTTGAAATACTACCTGAAATGAAAAAAAGTAAACATATTACATATTTCTATGCTTAGCCACATAATCTCAGGCTACAAAACATAAGCCTTTTTCTTAAATGTCTGGTTTTGTAATTTCTGTCGGTATTGTTTTTTTTTGTTGATGAGTTCTTCTTTTAATCCAACAAATACTCAGAGTAAATGAAAAGCAACTGTCCGTGATTGGCTTTAAGTTGTTTTCTCACTGAAAATGTGCTTTATGTGTGAAATGTACCTCAGATGTTTCATGTTTTTTGGCCCTCCTGGTACATTAGAGAAGAGCCACAGTCAAGAGCATCCATAGAGCAAGCAGAACAAGAGTTTATGTACCAAAATATGCATTTTGAGAGCTTTTAAATGCACACCACAAATAAAAAAATTCTATCAAATGATAAAATGTCCATGTTTTGCAAAAGTATATGCGTTTCCATTACGAATGTGAGCTAATCTTTGTTGATATTCCACTGTCGGAAAAACTATTTCACAACTGCACCAGAAACCACAACTGCATAAGAAACGTAAATAAAATCATGTGAATATATTTGTTCACACGATATATTAAAAAACATGCTGCGCCCTTGTTCTCCGACCACTTTCTGTCGTCTTCTTTGTCTCTTCCACCAGTAGCAAGGTCCTTTTGTTGATCACGTTACCCATTCAAAAAAAGTTTTTTCCATTGTAAACCAATTTTGATTTGGCAAAAAAAAGCAAACATTTCACCAAAAAAATTAGTTTTGTTTTATTTTTCCTAAAAATGTCCGTCTCTCCTATAACCAAATGTATTTTCATAATTCCAATGACATGGAAACGCAGCCTCTGAGTCCACACCAGGTTCATGACGGGTCGCTGGGTAAAAACTTGACTTGTCCATTTTTTGACCAATCAGAATGAGGACAAAAAGCCCAATCAGGGAAGCCTGGAGGATCTTTCCCAGGATCAGACGGATGATGCTCTTCAGGTCACAGAGCTCATCAACCTGCAGAGACGCTCTCCAATGATCCGCAACCGCAAGACGGGCTCCATGGAGGTAGAGCAGAGTCCGCTTCTCAGCAGCACCCACAATGCATTGCTAAGTATTATTATGATGATGATTATTATTATTATTAATAATGTGCGATCTTGTTTTTCACCAGGTCCTCTCTGAGACGTCGCCCAACCATTCCTCCAAAGGCTGCACATCCCACAGGCTCTTCCAGTCGTGTTCCCGCCAGTCTCCTGAGATCAAACCAGCCGGAGGTTTAGGTCAGCTTCTAACTCATAAGTGTTTGTATTTTTTCTTTGTGTGTGTGTGTGTGTGTGTGTGTTTGTCATCAGGTCATCCTGCCCTCGTATCACATCTATTTTAAGCTGTCACCACCAATGTTGCTCTTCATTTTTTTTTTCTCACCTTATCCCCTTTCAGTCCCTTCCTCTTCTCTCTCTTCTTTCCATCGCCTCACCCTCCTGTTTCTCATGGCTGCATAGCTTTCAGTTCAACTTAGCGGCAGCACAAACAGGATCAGACTCCAAACTATTCAGGCAAGAGGTCAGCTGTGAGTCGAGTCGTTCGCAGCCAACATCAGGATCTCTTTGTCACAGGACTCTTACAGACGTTCCGACACTCCCTGTGGAAAATAAACGTTCAGCGCAAGGCTGCAGGTTTTAGCTGACCGCTGTTTTACCCAGGAAGCTATTATCATAAGATCAAATTAAATGCTCTCAGATTACTGGTCACTGATTTAAATTTAATTGAAACACTTACGACATCTCGCTTTGCAAAAGTACTTATAGCCCTTAAACGGGCAGTGTTATGCATTTTCCAGGTACAAATGCCATTTCACAGCACAATGGAGTGCAATGTTATTTGCATAAAAATGATATATTACTTAACAGAAATTTGACTTTGCAAATTAAAGCCTTGAAATTGGGCCTCTGTCCCTTTAAGAAGCTCCTGCTCTTTCTGAAACTCCGCCTTCTGGAAGTCGTCCCAACAAACGATCTCCGTTAAGCAGGCGACATACCATCATTCATGATTGCCATGGCAATTGAAGGATGTCTCAAACACTCGTGAAAGAGTGAAGACAACACTCCAGGCTTGATTTTGCTGTGGGAATAACTTAAAAAAAGTCGATTTTACACAATACCGCCCCTTTAAGCATATTAGCACATCGACACTTCAATGTTGGTTCACTTGATTTCCTAACTTTATGTCGGTCTATCAGGTAAAATTGACATAAGACACTTCTGCACCACACTGCAGTTTTAAACTGATGTAGTATATGATACTGAAGAGGCAAATTTCACCCGATCGATACGAGTTGAATCACTTTCACTGCATTAGGATACAGAGAAACGCCCAGGCCTCAGTGTTGCAGACCAGCATGTAATGGTGAATAAGTCTTCTCGTTTTAACAGCAGCAATTAGCTTTTTCAGGAATCTTTTTAATCTACAAATTTAAGTTGTGAATGTTAATTGTTTTTCCCGCCTTCCAGTGTTTTATTTTTTCATTGAATGACAAATGGGATCATCTGCAGCACATCCCAGTACACAGGGCCAGGTTTATTTGTCACGTGAGACTTTAATGAATTGTCAGACGTTTACAGTTGAACAGAAAAACTAATAAATTAGTTGGAAGGATAAATAATGAGAAAGGTGGAATAACCTGGCCTCTTAAATTTGTGGAAACTAAAACTTTGCTTGTTTCAGCAAAAATAATGTAAATCTGGAAAGGTTTGACAACAGAACTGTTAAGGTTCTCCATAATTGATGGTCACTGTGAACCTAAAATGACTAAATGTTAATTAATCACAAGCTGCTTCAACAAAGTATTAGCACTTCAGAAAAACACGTCAGTCAAGATGAAACAAACCCAGGTATAAACATATTCCTCTACATTTTACCAAATAGTTGCTGATTCTATTCCTCCTTCTATTCCATATAAACTGGTGTTGATGCAGTTTGAGTTTGACAACAGTATATTTTTTAAAATCTTTTTCTCGGTCTATCACAACTTCAAAGAATACTTCAAGGGCTTTTCCCGTCTGAGCTCAGCGTTTCCAGGGGAATTTAACGTCTAGTAAGCCTCACAAAATGGCAACACTCTCAGGCAGGAGTCTGCTGCCTAATCGGAGCCGCGTGGAGGCAACCATAAATGCAGGAATGTGACATCAGAGGGACAGAAAGGCTTTCTACAAAGTGTTCTTCATTAGCACGCCAACAGCTTCCCTACTTAACTACTCGATGTCACCTGGACGACTCCGCTTGTCTTTTAATTAAATTCAACTTGGCTCTTCTGAATAAACAGAAGTTTCTATTAAGCCTCGTTGTCACTGTTTCACTTTTTTTCTTTTTTTTTTAAGGTTGAGGTTAAAGGTACGTCTTACCAATATGTTATGAAGAGACGAGCGATCAGCTGTCTGAAAGCAGCTGAAAGCTTCACAGTATCTCTTTGTGAATGCTCTGCTGCACCAAGGTGACTGAGGACAGAACCACCTGCTTGGTTTCCTTCATTATGTCTGAACAAAATGTTAGCACATTAACAGGCCGCAGAAACAATCCTGCTGCCATCTGGGGCAAATGCATGATGGCAAATGTTCGTACCGCTTCAGCGCTAAATTTATCAGGCGTTGCATTGATTACTTTGATTATATACAGTGACTTTCAGAAGTATTCATGCCCCATCTAGGGCAGGGCCACAAATTGATTGTATCTGTTAATCAAATTTTTGGTTTTTGAAGATTTATGTTTTTGGAAAATCTGGATTTTATTTTTTTTCTTTTTCACCAAAAAACCTTTGAATTCAGGTCAATAATTTTTTTTTTTTTTAGCTTTTTTAATTGCAAGAATTAGGTCATATGGCAATACTAGAATAAATCCAAATGGCAAAGTCAAAATAATAAAGGCTTAATATTAGGTGGTAGTTTCATCAGAAAAAAAAAATATATTAAGTTCTTCTAACTTTTTTTCTTGTTAAATACAACTTTTTATTCATAAATGTAAATTTAAGACATTCATCTAGTAAAACTACTACTATAATATTATGACTATATTCTTGTCACATCAGAAATTCTCATAGCCTGACCCAGACACTTTATAGAAATAAAAGCCACTTTTTGGATTTTTTTTCTGCAGTGGTTTTAAATGGCCTTTTAAGAAAAAAAATCTTTTTTTTTTTTTTTTTTTTTTTACTTTGTTTTAAATCTGGTGTGAAAGAAAATTGTAGACTTTAATTTTAAGCCATGTTGTGCAAACCCAGAGCAAAGTGGATTGTATTTTGATTTTATGCAGCTCATACTAGTGCATACTAATGAATTACAAAGAAAATTATGTTTTATAGTTATTTATTTGATCATAACATGAAAGTCCAGGAACTGTTGTCCTGTCGAAGGATTCTTCTACCAGATTTTTATTTAGGGGAATCAGAAAAAAGGGCGACAGACACATGTGTTTGTTTGTCGATTATAGAGTATTGCATAGTAGCAGATGAGGTTATTACGTTTCTCACAGTATAAAATCCCAATAAAAACAGCACTTGGAGAAGGTAATGGGGTATGAATACTTTTGACAGACACTGTGTGTGAAAGTTTGAATCAGAAATTTATATATAATTTTTTTTTGTTTGTTTCGGAGAAAACGCAGTGTGTTCTCTACAGCTGGCCTCTCCTCCATCACAGTTATTTATTGGTTTTTCCGTTTCAGATAAAATATTCTTGAGTCTGAATGAAGATTAACAAATGAGAAGTTTTTTTTTTTTTTTTTTTTTTTTATTATTATTTTTTTTTTATCTTTCTTCGCTGCGTAACTCCATTACATTTGTTATTGTTGGTAGCTCGTCATTCTCACTGCCACACCTGGCATGTTAAATCAAAGAGGTGCTGAATTCAGTGCCGAATCTGTTAGGGGGGAAAAAATCCAACAAAAGGTTTGACTCTTGGATTAATTCTGTTTTAAAACACTTCCAGGATTGAGTTGACAAAAAAAATGTCAGTGACCACATATTCTAATGTGTTAGAATATTCTAATGTGTTAGAATATGTTCAGTTAGAACTTTGTAAAAGTATTCGCTGTCAAACCTTTTCACATTTAAATGCAGTTTTGGGGGGATTTCATGTCGCCGTCCTGAAGTGGTTGGCAGTGACGAATAAAACAAGAGTCAAAGCACAACCTGGCCTTTCTGCATGCAGTTTGCATGTTCTTCCCATACATGCTTGTGTGTGCTCCAGGTGTTCCTGCTTCATTAGCGGTTATGCTGAGCCGCCCATAGGAATGAGTGTTTGTGCCTGTTTGTTCTCTGTTTTCCTGTGACTGACTGGCGACCCATCCACGGCCCCTTACTGTCCCGCACGGATAAGTGCTGTAGACAATCAGTGGATGGAAAATGGTGCATTGTTTACAAAACTTTGCAGTGATAAAAATCTAAGAAAAAATGTGCCGCGTGTTTGCATTGAGCTTTCCAAAGTCAATCCATCCCAGAAAAGCATCCCAGCAGCTTTCTGCTCTCACTGCAGTATGTGAGTGAAAGGAGTCATTGATATTACAAATGAAAACCGAAAATGAAACGCAGGTGACCTCAGATTTTATCTTTCTAATGCCTACATTGTGGCACTGACTGGCTATTCAGATGACTAACGAAGTTGACTCCTTGGGATGTGACCAAAACAACTCGTATGGCATTGTGAGGGAAATGTCTGGACCAGTGGAGTTTCCCTCTACTTACTCACTCTGGTTACCTAGCAACAACCTACTGAGTAAGTTTCATCCTCATAACAACTTAAAAATAAACTGGTGTGAAAACTGTGCATAAAACAGGAAAGGTCACGCCACCAGTTTGGCACTATGTCAGATATTTAAAACAAAAGCATGAGCTCATATGAAGACATATTATCCAGCCCTAATTCAATGTAAACACATTTAATAAGAACAAAAAGCCGAATGATTTGTTTGGAACAATACCTGCATGGTGTGTAAATAAAACGACTCATCGGTCATACTTCCACTCCTACCCTCCCCCCCCCAACCCTCCGACTCATCCTCACACAGGCTCGCTCTGCTCTGGCCTCTTCAGTGCCTCAGCCCTCGGGGTGTCCTCTAGCGCCCCCAACTTGCGGGACTACGTCCGCACCCACCACCACCACCGAAAACCACCTCTGTCCCCTGGCAGTCTGCCGTGCAAGATTGGCATGTTTGGTATGTTCACAGCGGTGTCTGCTCTCCTCCATAGGGTCGAGTCTCTGCCCTTCTTTAAAAACATTTTTTTTATCATCATTATTCTACGTTTTTTTCTTTTTTTTGCTTCTGCTGGTCTCGTCTTGGAACTATTGGCAACTCTTTCCTGTTCTGTTAATTCCCTCCTTTCCCACAAAATCCAATTTCAAAACATCCCGCCTCTCCTCTAAACGTTCTGGCGACACTGATCCGATCGCAGAGTGACTGGCTGTGTGGTAAACGTTTTGCACGCAGGCGCATGTTGGGAGTGTTCAACGCTTTTGGTACTAACCGTCACCATCACGCCTCTGCCTGCTTGGGGATTAAAAAGGTTGGTTTTTTTTTTGCATGCTGTGGCGCTGTCTCCTCATTTGTGGAATTTAATAATCTGTCCTAAAGTAGCTTTGGTGGCTGAAAGCCCAAATCCTGGCTGTTACTTTTCTGTTTTTTTCCCCTACTCACATTTTGTGGTAATCCTCACTACAAGAGCCAGTAATTCAACTGGAAATAATCCAATCTGATTTTAAAACTTTTCCTCACACTGCTACTGGTAAAAAGCAGCAACCTTTCTTACTGAGATTTCTTAAAGATCGCCTACATTTATGCCGCACAGCATAATCACACCATAATCACACCATAGATGGTAAATTATGTAAATTGGTATTAAATTGTGCACAGCAGGAATTTTTCCAGGGTTTGTGATGCAACAAAAAAGCAGCTTATTATCACCACTAGGTGTCGCTCTGATAGCAAAACCTCACAGCACCAACAGTAAGAATGACTAAGAAAAAGGGTGAGTATTTGAACCAATAAACATTTCATTCAATCAATCATACTTATTGTGTCCAGGCAGTTGTTGTGCAGCTCAGTAGGAGAAAAAACCCCAAACAAACCCATGTGATCAAACTCATTTGAAAATGTTCATTTTGTCTTTATGTAAATGGTTGAAGTCGGCTAAAACAGAAAGTCTACTCTATTTATTCATCTTCCTAAAAGCTCCAGTTGTTATGATATCTTCCTGTCATACACAAGAAAACTACTGATAATTACCCATTTAAAAAAACATTTTTAAATCTTGAAGACTTCCCTTCACTGGCATTAAAAAAGGGCACTTAGCTTTGATTCTCACAAGTTCTAGGAAGTTACAGATAATCGGGGTTTTACCTTCAAACCTGCTTAAATTTAAATCTAAAGAGAAACTTCTAAATAACTAAAATACATATATGTACATTGATCCTGAAGCAGGATCTTGGGGAACTACATGTTTATAAAAGAGTCTGACCTGAAAACCAAAGTGCTGAACTTTTAACCCCACCGTGTTCCAGACGCAAGGTTCGTGTGTTCTGGTGCCGAATGCAGAAGAACAGCAGGTTCTGAACCAGTAGGAAGAGCCGTACAAGGCCAGCACTGTGGCTTAATGTAACCAAAGAGGTAATTCAATTCAGACCGTCAGTAAAATGGGAAGTGGCATTTCTGCAATTGTCTTTAAAATCTTTATTATTCTTATCCTCAATATTTTTTTAGACTTTATTTTAGATGTTATTATAGATTCCTTTTCAACAATGGAGAAAGCAGATCAGTCCCTCAGTTACTCTCTTAATTTGTCTAAAACTATATAACATATATCAACATATTATATTTCAATATTTTGGGTTTATTTACCTGCAGATTTTGCACCGTTGGAATAAAATGCTCCCGCACTGGAACCAGTATAGTTTAATTACAGATGGACAAAAAATAAGTTATTTTCCTCTGTAAAACAAAAAAATGTTTCAAAATGGACTGAAAAACTCAATGTGGTGTAATGACCGATTTCTTAACATGTTTTTACTTCTTGGTATTTTGTTTATACCCAGCAGGTTGAGACACCTGCAACAAATTGACACTTTTGTCTTTGCTCTGAGTGGATTATGTCAGCATGTCTCAGTGTATGTTATTGACGTTCTATCTATTGACGGATTATTACAAGTCATGCATCTTTTCCATTTAGCAAAGAGGTCAATGAGATCAAATTTTCAACCTCTTTTTTTTTTCCTTCTCACCCTTCTCTTCGTTTTCCTCAGACTTGTTGGCAGAACGTGTGTGAATCAGAAAGCCAACTCTGCCCTATTTCTGTGTTTCCTCCCCTCTTTTTTTTTTTTTTAAATGTTCATTTCTTTGAAGACCACGCAGGCCAACAGACTGACACAGATACCAGCACCTCCAGTAATCCCAGTTACCTCTCTTATCTCCTCAGAACTGCTCTCTATGCCGGCAGTAAAGAGGTTTTCTGTGTCGTTTGCCAGGCATCCGACCAATGGTATGTCCGCTTTTCTTCAAGTATACTTCGACAATCCTCTAGTTCATCTTGCATGACCCTTTTGTGGGGTGGGGGGGAAACCACCTTTGGGGATGTGGAGATTTGACTGCGTCAATGACATCAAATGAACGTTTTTATTTATTTTCCATCAGAGTTTCTGTGTCACCGCACAGCCTCGGTGTTTGATGAGCCTTGTGTTGTTTTCAGCCTGCACTGCTAACACCACCTGCTCTGCAAGGTTAATTTACCTCCTTGATTCTGCCGTTTCCTTACAAATTGTTCTTTTTCTGGAATATATCTTCTTCCTAGGATATATTTCCACGTGTAGATGATCTGTGTGCACCTCATAACTTGTACTCACTCAAAACTTTTTGTTCCTTTTTGAGTCATTTGTACTTTTCAAAGGCTGTGGTCTTCTGTGTCTCCATGTATTGATGTGGTTTATGGTGTAAAAGTGAGGACGTAAAGGAGATGTTGTGGAGAATCCCTG